CCCTACCTCTACCTTCCTACGTTTCGTCCCCTTTCCTCTTCGCTCCTTCCCCTTCCTCTTGTATCCTCCCCCCCCCCCCCAGCCCCCCTTGGTCCTTCTCTCCTCCCCCGAACTTGCTCCTTCATCTCCTCTGCTCCTCCCCTCCTGCTTTGCTCTTCTCCCTTCTGACCCCCCACTCTCCAGGGATGCATCGAGGCGAGCTGGGGGAAGTCAACAACCCGAATGCAAATCCAGGAGACCTCTGCCCTTACTGATCTCCTCCTCTCTTCTTCCGTCCCCTCAGTCTCTCCCCCCTCCCTCCCCCTACTCTCCCCTCTCCTTTCCTCCCCGCTATCGTTTCTTTCGCCTTTCCCTTGAGTGCGTCAATGTTGTCCGAGGGTAGCACTGAAAAGAAGGAGAGATCAACTCAGGCAAACTCCCTCTGGTTCCCTGTGAACCTCTTCCTCTAGATGTCAGCGGGCAACGCAAGTGAACCCCTATTAGTAAAGAGATTGAGACTGAGAGCGATCAGTGTGAGTAGAAATGTAACTGATCATAGAAATGTAACTGATCATAGAAATTTAACTGATCATGTTTTCATGTCTAACTGTTTCAGACTGTATGAGAGTGTCTCAGGCATCATACACATGTCTTAGTATGATGGGATTTAGGGGTTGGCCTGGGGCCGGGGGTTGGCCCAGTAGCCTCCGTTTAGGGGTATAGTGTTTAGGGGTTATCCTCCTGGACCGCCATCTAACTGTCACTGAGTCTGCAACCGTTCCGACACAGTTGTCCGAAAGTGTTGATAAAAAATGTGACGAGCGATGTCATGTTGTAGTTAAGACTCTCAGGGTTACTAAGTTAGCACGCCGGAGAGCCGCCGATCAGATGTCACACTGCTCCGAGGCTCAGGTCTGCCGCATCACGGTAGTTGGCACACGCGAGGCGGGCGAGATGTCGGATCGCCGGGATTCCGGGTGACGAGTGACTCAGTGAAGTAACGCCGCCGGACCGCCGGCCGCCAGGCCGCGGCGTCCGGCGGCGCCGGGCCGCGGGGAGTCCGATCCGGACCGCGGCGGCAACGGCGGCGTGACTCAGTGCCAGCGGCATGTCGGACCGGGCGGTCGGCCCCGGCGCCGGGGCTCCGAATCCGAGTCCGACGGTCTGACTCATCACTCAGAGTCGGAGTTGTGCCGAAGTTCCGACTTTGACTTGTACCCGGCCGTTCGCGACGGAAGCGCCCCGCCAGTGCGGCCTGACGGGCGCGGCCACCAGTGGTGACCGGCGTGGCGGTGACCGTCCGATCCGACGGTACTAGCGGCGGTCGCTTTGAATAAAGAGACCGTACCGGGCCGAGTGACTGAGAGCCGCTCGGCCCCGGGACCGTCCGACCGTCCCACGGGCCGACTCAGCCTCCACCGACCGAGTCGCGGCCGGGCCGCGGCGCCCGCCCGGCCGCCGGTTACTAGGCTGCACCGGTCACGGTATCACACAGCTCGATTAGGAGTAAAGCATCGGGTTTCGCATCGTTTCGAACATAGCTGACGCAGAACTTGTGTTGTAAACTGAAAGAGGCAACCATTCATCGCAAGAGACATATCATAGTACCCCCCCGCATGTTTCACGTAGTAACTTCTGCGTGGTAAACTGAATTAAAATGGATAGTACCCTGACAACGGAGATATGCTGGCCGTCATGACGGGTGATCAATAGCCGAGCTCAAGTATTTGAAATGTGTTAATATTATTTGAATATCTCATTGATCAAAGTTTTCAACCTTTCTTTTATTCCTCTGGAATTCACCCCACCCTACTATTAAGGCTTCTTTGTAGAACTCAACCTACCGTACCCCAGCTCTTCGCTATATAAAGACTACCCCTCCCTTGAGGCCATTTTCTACCCCATCATTCCAAGTCATTTCAGTCAATTCACGGATAGATAGGTACTATCCGAAGTCAGATAGGACTGTAGGGTGGGTACTCCCTACCACCACCACCCTTCTCTATATTTACACCCACCCCAACAAGCCTCGAGATCAAGTTTACCAACTTTACTACGAAGCCAGAAGACTGGGCTCTCACTGCTCCACCCCACCCTCTACCCTTCAGCCTTTTGAATTCATGACCCTACCTTGAAAGCTGTACCCTACCCTCTTTCAATCAACGGATCACCCCTACCTCATAAACAATCATTCAATAACTGCTCGAATACCCCTACCATATCTATATCTGAGAAGAATGGGTTCTTTGAAGGGGTTCGTTTCATTGTTTCCCCTCGCTATGGCTACCCACCCCCTGACGACTATCCTGTCTGAAAGATAGATTAGGGAACCCGTACTGGATTCAATATGTGTACCCTACCCGGTTTCAAGTACCCACCCTATTGACATGGTGAATTACCCACCAGGAAGGCGGTTCGACTTGCATGGGGGAAACCAAGGGTACTTTGCTTTGCTCCACCACCGCGCACCTCACCGGGTCCCCTACTACCCCACCGTGGCTGACAAAGAGCCTCTGTCCTCTTCAATGACCCCAACCTACACAGTACAGCCCAGCACTAATCAAATCAAAGGGGATTCGGGGGGTAGTCCTGTAATGTGGACTACCCTACCTCAGGACGATTGAGGTACTCCCCAAGGTACCCCACCCTTGCTCCGTCCTTCCCTGCGCTCCCTCGCCGCTCCTCCCCTGTGTGCATTTTTAGTTGTAAGCTCGTTGCTTCGCAATGCTGCAAGAGCGTACACAGCGAATTCTTCATTGTATCCTCACATTCATTGATAGATCTCAATGTGTACGTATGGCCCTCTTTTCGCGCCCTCTTTACTTTTTTAGATGTAGACTATCAGCAACAGATCTGTCTCTGTTGCAATAGAGGAACCCATTCTCTTTGGTAGCATCTTCTTCCTTTTATTTTGTCATATCTTCCATCGAATCACCATATCTCACATCTTGCGATGTCTCATTGATTTTTGTTTGCGCATGCCTCATATCGTGATAGCTGTACTGGCCCGAACGTTACACCTGAGGGAGGACATTTTTGTATTTCCTTGTATGGTCTTTTTGTCGAGGCCGAACGTGCTGTTACGAATGTGAACGATTTCTTATAGTTGCCCTGCAGATTCCCGCAAGCGATATGACAAGGTGTGTCTGAAATCTAGTGTGGAACGAAGCACAGCAGCATTCCACAGGTGGCATTTCAGCCCCGAATGAAAAGCATTACTATCACTTGCATCATATGAAGGATTCTACAGTGACCTGGTTTTACTGGAGCTGAAGTGGAACAGGGATCACGGTCCTGATTACTGAGCTATTTCAGGAATGAGCAGCAACAGCGTGGTGCAACGACCCAACTATAGCCATGCAACTCACATAGCGGCACGTGATGAATGTGCAGACAAGTATCTTGGAAATGCTGTGAGCACCAACATTGTGCGTTCGAATCATTGTCTTCCGGATGATGTTGGTAAAGAACACCTGCATGATGGGGACAGGGATAGAGACTCTCATGGTCACTCGTCGGACCTCAGTGACGACGAGGTTGCAAACATTCGTGATGAGAACGATGATGATCAGAACACTGTTCGCGTCGACAAAATTATGGCGTTGGTATCGAGAGAGAAAGAATACAACGTGTTAGTAGGATGGCCAGACAGAAACGAAGAGGCTTTCTTGCGTGGAAAGCCCGAGCTCAAATCTTTGATCCTTGATGCTACTTCATTTGATGAAGATGATCTTTTACATCTCACTTTGGAAATTTTCTTGGAAGTCGGTGTTCACGAGAAGCTTGGTATTCCCACGGATAAGATGAAAAGATTCATTTTGGGAGTGCGGGATAGAATGCTTGATAATCCATACCATAACTGGACTCATGTTTTTGATGTGATGCAAACAGTGTACAGCCTTGCAACAATGTGCCGTGCTTTTGATAAGTTGTCAGACATTCAAACCTTTGCCTTGATTGTGTCGGCTCTTTGCCACGATTTAGAGCACCCAGGTGTTAACAATCTCTTCCTGATCAAGTCAAGATCTTCTTTGGCAACACTGTACAACGAAACCTCTATCTTAGAGAAGCACCATGCATTTCGTGCTTTTGAGCTGATGTTTCATGCAAATACAGATCTGTTGTCCAGCTTTACCCCGGAACAATATGCAGACTTTCGTGAAATAATGATGAGCATCATTCTTGCAACCGACATGGCTCGACATGGAGATTACATGGCTCGTTTGAAGCAAATTTTGGCTGAAAACGAGGGTAAAGAAGGTCAAATCGAAGTGGATGAACTCTTTCTTATGGAGATCATCATCAAGTGCGCAGACACTGCTAATGTGCTCAAGCCATTCGAAGTTGCAAAGAAGTGGGCTCTGAGAGTAACAGATGAATTTTTCCTGCAAGGGGATATGGAAAGAGCTAGTGGAATGGAAGTCACGCCTATTTGCGATAGAACTTCTCAAAGCAGGGTGGCTGTACAGAAAGGCTTCATCGATTTTGTGATCACACCATTTTACACCTTGGTTGGCAACTTGCTGCCGGACTTGCTGGAGTGTTTCAAACAAATTCAAATTAACCGTCAAGCCTGGGATGCATATGATGACGCCATGTTGGTTGAAGAGGTGGGGAAACACAAGTCGGGATTGCTCCCGAGCAATGGTGAGCCGGTTTCTCTCAGGATAGTAACATGGAACATAGCTGCAGTGAACAATAACCCGTTTGAATACTGGATCACACATGGTCAAACCAGGCAGAGCGCAGACTATGCAAGTTTGATGCAAGAGGTACAGCTATTAATCGACAATCCGGAAGGACGGGACTTTGAAATTAAGGATATAATTTCCGACGAAATGGTGGCAGAAGTCAAGGCGGAGATGGAATCATTTGGATTGGAGGGTCTGGACGAGTGGGAGAACAGGTGGAAGACAGAATATAAGCATCGTTTAGCAATCAGCGGCTTTTTGAAGGACAAAGCAATTGGAAGCAAGCGCTTGATATCTATGCCTGACAGAGTTACGAATACCATCAACAGCGAGGGCTCAGTCTTGATGCGACCTTCGGTGATATCCATGTTTGATGGAGATTGTATGGGCTCGTTAGATGAATGGTGGGTGACATGGAAGGACTACATGTTTCATCGTCAAGTCAAGATCATCGACAGAAACAAACCTGGAGTTTCCAATGAGTTGTTTGTCATCGAGATGCTTCAAAAAATCGCTCACTCTAAATACCCCGCGATCACTGAGGAAGAAGAAGCCATTTCTATTCCACTACAAGTATGTTTTGTGCGTTTTCTTATTCATTGCTGATTTTTCGTAATCAGGTGATTGTGCTTGCCGTCTTTGATGCAATTTTAATTCATATTCTGAATTCGCTTGCTCCCACGACCTGGCAGCCAATCAAACGCTCTCTTTGCCAGGCCTTCAATCAAAACAAAAGTCTACAGGTTGTTATGCTCTTGTTTTGTCCGGCTGCATTGCAAATCATTGCCACATTTTCGGTGTTGACATAGCTGGTAGGTGTTATCCATACTGAAGAATACCTACTCGGACGTGGATGTATTCTTCATTCAAGAAGCAGCGGCCGGATTTGTAGATGCTGCAAAACAGGTTATGGGAAGGAAGTACATGGTGATGAGGCCCTATCTTCTTGATGGTAATGCAACTCAATTCTCAAGCCTGAATTGAAATTGACTTCTGCACAAAGGATTTCGAAATCAGAACAGCATCATTCTAGCCTCTCGCGAATTCTTCGTCGAAGGAAGTACGGAACATGTTATTCGCCTTGCCGGGGGAGGGAAATGGATCGCTCCAGGCGATCTCTGTGCAATGACCATGAAGGCAAGTGCAAGGGACTGTTCTGAACTGTGTGAGGTAAAATTGCCTTGTTAGGGAGTAGACGGGTTTCGATATCTTCTTGCCTCCTTCCATGGCGACACCAACGGCTTGGCTTCGCTGCCTGTGTTGAAGGTCAAGATGGCTTGCACGCATGAGCCAAGTCTCACTTTAGCGCAGGCCTTGCACGAAGCAATCACAACATCATATCCAGGTCTCGTTGAACGCTATGATGATACTGTAGTGCAGCGGAGCTCATGATATCTGCACAGATCATGTCTTCATATGTGGCATCGACGCCAACACACACAAGGTAAACCAGAGCCCTTGCTAACAATGCGCATGAGTGACCGTGGCGGCAGCAACACGGGTCCAACTGTCAGGGAGTGAATCACTTCCATGACGCCTTCGCCGAGATGGGGATGGACTCCTGCTGGGGTGAGCTGCTGAAGAGGTGTGGAGGAGACAGAAGCTGACAGCAGACTTGATGCAGGAGAAACCCCCAGTGTCAAGACTTGGACGACGAGGAACGCAAGGACTTACCTCCAGCCTCAGCTGCAGAAGGCTGTTGGCATCGCGGATGCAGCTCGAAAGGTGAGATGGAAGGGATAGACGGGTGTTGAGATGACTCCCATGTACAGGGCGATGTAAACTTGAAAGACTGGTTGATCTTCTATGAAAATCAGGCAAGGGTTCTTTCTTTTCTTGACAACTTGGCTTGCCATTGGAGTGACTCTTCCTTCAGTTTGTTTGCGCTGAGCAAGCTCGCGACAACACGGGTGCTCGCAACTTTGATGAGGTCTGAGGTTGGTGTGGCTGTAGCTGGTGGCTCACTCCTTACCCAGGAAATGGTTTTCCCGACGCTTCAATTTCCCTCCGATCATGCGATCGTATCTGCTTTACTCACTCGCAAGCCTTCATGAGCACTTGGTCCATCTCAACTTAATGAATTGCTACAAATCTGAGTCTCGCAGGCCGCCGCATCCCGAAGGTATTTAACCAGTTCAATATAGAAAGTTCAACGGTTCAAGTCGCGGTTTGGGGGACAGCCGCCGCTCGGCCCGGCGGGTGACCGTAGGCTAGCCCCTGCCCAGCCGAGCCGCCGGCCGTCGCCGGGTTCTCAGTTCGGGCCGCCGTTCAAGCTGTCACGAGTCAGCCGGGCTCTCTGCTTTCCTAACTAGAAAGTCCCATCAACGCCTGCAGCCGCTCTAGTGCGCCCCGGGCCCGGCCTGCCGCTTAGTGCTGCCACGGGCCGCCCGGCCCGGCGGCCCGCTCAGCGGCCCGTGGCTACCCTTGGAGGCTCCCGGCAAATTCCGAAGTTCGGTGAGAATGACGCGGGTCACAGTCCTGGCATAAACTATCATAACGTCCAATCAACAAAATTTTGGAGTAATCATTTTCCATGATGAGCCGCGCCGCTACCGGGACATCAACATTGAACAGTGAGACAAAAGCCACTTTTCCTTTGTACGGTGAAAATTTCAACGGCGAGTCCTGGGGCCGGGCAAAAACCCAGGCAGCGGCTACACATCGGAACTCCGGCGAACGCTGGGCCCGGAGTCCCGGAGTCCAACTCGCCAGTGGCACTGAGCAGCCCGGCCCCTTGCGGCCACGCCGGCCGGCGGCCGGCGTGACCGCGCCGGCGACGCCGGGTACACCGTGACTCGACACGGTCACGGACACTCAGTGAACTCAACTTAGCTCGGAGGCTGCACCAATTCTTTACTCAAAGTTAAGTAAAACATCAGTACGAGGACAATCAGGAAGCCGCTACGGTTACAGACTCTGAGGCTGGCTTGAAGATCACGCGGTGGAAGATATTACTCGATTTAAAACGATACTCATTCTTACCTCTTCGTCATCAATGTGAAAAGACTCAATTTCGCTGAGTCATCCATGAGAATCTCGGGTTGCTAAAAACAACTTGTAAGAGTAATGGTTTTGAAGAATCCTTCTTGTTTACGTTTGGATTTGTTCAACGCAACGTTTCAAGATGGCGGGCTGAACCCCCGAGAAGAAGAGGAAAAAGACGCCATCTGACAACTGCATGACCGGCGCGAAAAATGAACGATGTGGGCGTCTGGGAAGTGAAGAGGCGGGGGGAAGGGAGGAGGAGGGGAAGGCACAGAAGGACGATGCATGGAGCTACTGTACAAGAGGAGAGGACAGAGTAAGACTCTAGCGCTGAACACGACAGTACGCGTGAAGAGGAGGGGGAATGTTGCCGGGTATCAGGAGGGGCCGGAAAGGCCATGGAGGAGAGCAGGAGGGGGCAGTGCATAGGGAAGGGACGAGAAGGCGGGAGGTTGGAGAGCATAGGAGTAGCCAAATATGACCAGTGAGTTAGTGCAGTAGGTGCAAGAGTTTGGTCCCTTCTACTTAGTAGCACAAGAGAGAGATGTTTGAAAAAGGAAACCAAACTGATGTCTGATTGTACAGGAACGAAGAACAAAAAATACATCAACGCAACTCCATCAACTGGATTATTTATGGGAACACCGACTTGTTGAGACACAAGAGGCCATCGTCGACAACAGAGCGAGAGTGTGAGAGAGGAAGGAGGTGGTGGTGGAGGTAGACGGAGTACAGACAGTGAGTAGGGTGTAGACGAGCTTCAGCGGTGACTGGCTCGAGAGCGAGGTGTAACAACATCAAGGATAGCAGCTAGTTGCTATCATTGCCCATGTGCTGAAGGCCTGCTGGAGCAACCTTGAGGAAAAGGATGGAGTTTGAAAAACTGAGCGCGCAGGGCAGCATCTGCGAGGAGAGCGTCAGTGCGATGGTGATGGAGGCGATGAAGGAGATGGAGGAGATGAAAGAGCGGGTTGAGTGGCTGTCTGCCATCAGCATCCTCTTCTTCTCCATGACCTGCCTCGTCATCGCATCCTCCCTACGGGTGGCTGCTGCTCCCCCCGCTCCCTCCCTGCGCACATCGTCCACTTCAAAGGAGCCGCAGGAGAAGAGGAGGAGCTCGCCGCACAAGCTTGAGTCAGACATTGACGGCAACAAGACGTTGAACTGGGGAACCGCCTACCGCCGGCTGCCCATCCCAACTTCGAGCTTCCTCCTGCGCCCTCATGGGATCTTCAAGTCGGTCAGGGAGGATGTGCGGGGGCGCGAGCGGCACGAGGACGGGGGGTCGTCCCTGCGGGAAATGTGGAGGGCTTTGAAGACCCTGGTGGGGACGGGGCTGAACAGCATCGAAGTCTGGCGCTTCTTGTTCCTCGCTATCGTGTTGAGGATCTATAATGGGACGTGGACTGTGTTCCTTATGCTGTCGTCCTCCTTCCTGCTCGTTCAGTCGTACGCCGCCACCTTCACCCACGAGTTGCCGCACAGGCACAGCAGGCAGCATCACGGCTCGAGGCACTCGGAACATGCGGGGGCTCGATCCACTTCCTCACCTCGCTCGCCGCTGCACTCGCCGCCGCACTCGCCGCTGCGCTCATCGATGCCTCCCCCCGTCGCTGTCAGCTCGCTTGTGGAGTCGCAGATCAGCTGCGAGGACGCGAGTTCTCCGCCGATCTCGTCGCCAATGGAGGAGCGAGGCAGAAACGATGAGGGAGGAAAGGAGGATGGCGATGTGTTCTCGCGCTGCTCCAGCGAAGGAGGGTCAGGCAACAAGGGCCAGAGCCCCGTTGTCGACGCGTTTCAGTTGGCGTACGAGGACATGAAAGGCGGCCTCGGCTCTCGCTTCCTGGGCTCCTCCTGGACCTTTGCGCTCTTCTACTCTTTCGTGAGTCGCGTCAAGGACGGCCAGTCGTCTGCCGCCATCCCCGACCTGCGCGTAAAGCTGCAGGCGGCGGTGAAGGGGAAGGACAGTCTGCTCAAGGACCTGGTCGAGTCCAAGGAGTTCTCGCAGGAGGTGCTGGATGAGCAGGTGGTGCTGGACTTCTGCCGGCGCTGGCTCGAGATCCTGACGGAGATGGAGCAAAGCATCAAGAAGCGACGCTACGAGTTCCGTCACGTCTCGTCCTTGGGCACCGCCACCTACACCACCAGCGGCGCGTCTCGCTTCTGGGCTCGGGCGGTCAGGAAGGGATCGGTGACGAGGAACGGGTCTGGCAACTCGGATGCAGACGACTGCTCCTCGTCGCGCAGCCCCACCCGCTCTCCCGTCCTGAGGAACCACGACGCGATTGGCCGATACTTCGGAGGGGAAGGAGGAAGCTCGTACAACAAGCGGATGGGCATGGAGGAGATGACGGTGAACGAGGCTGAAGCTTACCTGGAGATGATGGAGGACAAGCGGCGAGCCAGGGGATTGAGCCTCGAGTAGCGCAGTAGCACCGGGAGAGGGAGAGAACAAGGAGGAGTGACGAGGGATGCGGCCAAAGCAGGAAGGCGCTGCTTAGCCTATGGGGCATGCAGAGGAGGAAGGGAAGAGTCGCATGGAGGAGCACAGGAGTTAAAAAGAGGAGCAGGCATGGGAAGAAGGAAGAGAGGGCAGCAGAAGAGAAGGAGGGAGGAGGATGGAGGAGAAGAGAGCAGATGCGTGCGACGCTAGTAGAAACGAGAATGAATCAAAAGAGTGCAACTCCTGCTGTTTAACTTCACTGTCGTTCACTAGAGGTCGAGCCGCTAGGCTTCCCTTGTTTCTCCTCCTCCTCACGCGAGCTGCTTGAGGATGTTGATGCGCTGGAACAGCCACTGCTTGAGCTCCGGCTTCATCGACCCAGCCTGTCGATTCCGGTCAGTGAGAGAACTGTAGCAGCAGCAGCAGCAGCAGCAGGGGAGAGGAGGAAGGAGTGAGCAAGGAAGATAACCAACTCGAGGACAGGAGGCAGTCCCTAAAGTGGAAAGATGGACAAGAAGAGGATAATGCTGGAGGAAGTGAGAACAGGCGGGTGATGCTGGAGGAAGTGAGAACAGGCGGGTGCCGGAGGGAGAGGAGAGGAAGTAGGTTGTTGAGGAAAGAGACTGACCGCCATGCCATTGAGGCGGGTGAGCTCCTTGCTGCGATCCTCAGCGGACTTGGCCTGCATGGTCTCGATGAACTTCTTCTCCTTGTCGGTGCATCCCTTGGGATCCTTCACGTCGCACTTCACCTCCAGGTTGTCCTGCACTTATTTCAGTCTCCTCCTCCTCCTCCTCCTCCTCCTCCTCCTCCTCCTCCTCCTCCTCCTCCTCCTCCTCCTTCGCTCGACAAACAGCTCATACTTACTCCATCTTTCCAATAAGCACTCCTCGTCTCACACTATCACTAAAGCCCACCGCAATCCTCATCCTTTCTGCTCCTGCTCGTGCTCACCTCAGTGAATTTCTTGAGGTCGTCAAGGGATCGTCCGCCATTGTAGGGCTTGCCCTCCTTGTCTCCAGCAGGAAAGTACTTGATGGTGGGGTAGCCGCTGACACCGTACTTGGAGCAGAGCTCGTTTTCCTGCCATCAAAGTCATCGGGAGGGATCGCACCCAACCGACTTGGCATGCCAAACAAAACACGGGACCAGGGCGGGGCTCGCATCACAAGAGAGGAGGAGAGGGAGGAGTCTGCGTCTTCTTCTTATCTTACTGCATGTCTCACCTGGGTACAGTCGACATCGCCGATAAGGACGGAGGAGGAGGCGAGGTAGTGCTTGCCCAAGTCATCCCAGGCAGGCTTCATGGCCTTGCAGTGGCCGCACCATGGCGCGTAGAACTTGATGAAGGAGCCCTTGCCGGAGTTGAAGACTTCATTCTCAAAGTTCTTCGAGTCGAGCACGACCGGCATGCCCATCGCTTCTCCCGCCATCGCCGCCGCTGCCGCCGTCACCAGCATCCACTTGCTCGCCATGTTTCGATGTAGCTACTACCCTCTGTGTGACCACCCCCGACTTTTGTACCCCTACCCTAGGTTGGGTCCACCCTCTATTCTCAATCCTTCCCCGCTCTAGATTCTACGAAAGACTTCAAAATTCCAGTTGAATTTTGAAACTTTCGAATTTTAATTCAGATAATTTCTGTAACAATTCATGATTTGTTCCGTACCACCCCAGCATACAAGAACCCCTACCCCCTACCCTTGAGATGAGCACGTCACCTATATCCACCCACCCCTTCACTTCATCTTAATTCCCACCTCCACCCCATCAACCATGCACCCTACCCCTTCGATGGCCTTATGTGATGTTATACTGACCCCCTACCTCTTCTTCGACTGATTTGACCCCACCAGGGCTAATACTGGTGCTGCACTACCCTACCCTCACACCGAACACACATGTTGGATCAGAAGATGAACGTACCCTACTACCCCCTTCTTTGTACAGGAGAGCGGGGTACTTTGACTGACCTTGCTGCCGCGTGGCAAGTCGAAACTTGAGTGAATAAATTTGAAACTTTAATTTGAAGCTTCAAAAGTTTTTGAATAATTTAAAATGTTTTAAGATTCAGTCATCCCTTCAGTGACTCCGGGCCCGGATACCCCCCATCCCACCTCTGACCACTCTTACACCCCACCGGAGGCCACCGGGAAATGGGTGACAGGACAATCCTGAGGAGGAGGAGGAGGAGGAGGAGGAGCAGGAGCAGGAGGAGGAGGAGGAGCAGGAGCAGGAGCAGGAGCAGGAGCAGGAGCAGGAACCTTCTTTCTGCAAGGGAGAACGTAGGAGAGGAGAGAAAGAACATTGAGAGAGAAAGAGAGAGATAGACTGACTGGCAGAGAGAGAGAGACAGAGAGAGACAGAGACAGAGAATCAGGCCTGTGGAAGCGAATAAAAGACAATCGGGTTGAATGCAAAGCCAAGACATAATGTTATGACGATGACATGTCCGTATCATGGAAATGTGATAAATAGTGTATCTCAGCAGAGAAGCGACAAGAGGAAAACAAGGAAGATGAATTTAAGAAAACGTTTAGACATGTGTTGCATTTCTAAGCAAATAGCTGAAACAGGATCAACAAGCAAGGTTCTGATCATGACCGACGTCTCTCGAGCTCAGCGAGCTGGTGATTCTTGTTGCTATACCTACCTATGGAAACGCATGGAACGAGGGGGGGGGATTTGGGTAGAGGCATTCACGGGAGGCAGGAGGAGGAGGAGGAAAGAGGGGAGGGAGAAGAGCAGGAGTCACTTATGGTGGGTTCAGCATTTGCCCGAGGCTCTTTCTTCTCCTCCTCGCTGTCAGCTGCCATGCGTTCGCCTTCAACCCCGCAGCTCCTCACGCGATTTTCCAAGGTTAATTGTTGCCTGCCAACCCCTTCTCCCCTCTGTCTCTCTTCAGTCTTCTTCTTCTCCTCTCCTCTCCTCTCCTCTCCTCTCCTCTCCTCTCCTCTCCTCTCCTCTCCTCTCCTCTCTTCTACCTCCACTTATACTTTATGCCTGAACCAGCATCAGGACGTCATCCTGTCCTTCGAGCCCGCAGCAGCAGACCTGCTGCTTCTCTGAAGCTTCGAATGGTCTCGCAGGTGATAAAGCACCCTTCCTACATGTTCGCTCTTCTGCTCGCATCCTTGCCTCCTCTCTTTGTCGTCTGACTGTCTGTCGGACAACGCAGGAGATGGTTCAGGGAGTCGTAGACGCGTCTCAAGCTGGTCTGCATCTTGCCTTTGCAGGTGCATCCTAACTCAGATCCCTACTTGTCTTGCTCCTCCTCCTCATCATCATCATCATCATCATCATCATCATCACCATCATCATCATCATCATCATCATCACCATCACCATCATCATCATCATCATCATCATCATAATCATAATCATCATCATCATCACCATCACCACCACCACCACCACCATCATCATCATCATCACCACCACCACCATCATCATCATCATCACCACCACCACCACCACCACCACCACCATACGTTGCCTCCTCTTCCTGCTTGTCCTCCTCCACCACCACCATATCCTCCCCCTCCTCCTCTCTGTCCGCCTTCTGCTTCCCTTCAGTTTCCTCTCATCGTCACTTGTCTCTGCCTTCTCCTCTCGTCTCTCCTCGTGCTGAGGTCATCTGAAGACCAGGGAAGCAATCTGGCAGGGAAATTTTTCCAGGTAACGCAGGGAAAACATGAGCATGAGGGAAAGAAGGAGAGGAGACGAGAGGAGAGAAAAACATGAGGAGCAGCGGCAGGAAGCAGGAGCAGGCAGGAAGTCTTAGGAGCATGCAGGCGAGTCTCCTGCCCTACCTGGCGTTTCTCTACTTCCTCAACAACAACGGGGCGAAAACACCCAAACTATCAGGATTCGGCTTCGGGGTAGATCTCTCCTCCTCCTTCTCTCTTTCCTTCTCCCTCCCCCTCCTCCTCCCCCTCCCCCTCCCCCTCCCCCTCTATCTCCCCCTCCCCCTCCTCCTCCCCCTCCCCATCTCTCTCCCCCTCTCCCTCCTCTTTCTATTCCTCTTCCCCTTCCTCTTTCTCTTCCTCTTCCTCTTTCTCTTTCTCTTTCTCTTTCTCTTTCTCTTTCTCTATACTCTCTCTCCTTCTGCTCTCCTCCTCCTCCTTTCTCTCTCTCTCTCTCTCTTGCTTCTTAAATTTTGCTTCAGTTTCTCCTCCTCTTCGTCATCGCCACCATACCTACAGGCATCATCTCTAAGACGGTGAGAAAGCAGCAGCAGCAGCAGCAGTCTTTGATGTGCCTGCAGGTCTACGGAGTCTCACTAGCAGATGTTGACTGGCTGCATGGAAGTGCCGAAGCACTTTTAACGGTAAACGAGGGGGGGGGGAGGAGAGAAGGGAGGAGAGAGAGAGAGAGAGAGAGAGGAGGAGGAGGAGGGAGATACAGAGAGGGAGAATAAGGAGGGGATCAGGAGGAGGAGATGAACAGGAAGGAGCACAAGAAATGATCAAGGCTTAGGTCACAAATATTCTCATCGCGGTTGGCTTTCGGGATGCGATGAGCTCAGGGACAGCTGAGGGTGAGAGAGGAACGTTGAAAATCGTTGGTAAGAAAGCAGAGCATCGTTCCTCCTCTCCTCTCCTCTCCTCTCCTCTCCTCTCCTCTCCTCTCCTCTCCTCTCCTCTCCTCTCCTCTCCTCTCCTCTCCTATCCTATCCTATCCTATTCTCTCCTCTCCTCTCCTCTTCTCGCCCTTGTTCCATTACTCCTGCCTCATCTTGCTGCGTTTCTTCTTGCATTTGCTCTTCCTCTCCCTCTCTGACTCTTCTCAGCCATCGCGATTGCTGCTCTTGTTGCTGGTGCTGCAGCTATTGGAAGTCCAGTGCTCGGTTTCGAAGCTCATACGCCATTCTTGGTACCTTTCGTTCCTCCCCTCCCCTCCCCCTCCCCCTCTCCTTCCTCTTCTCTCCTCTCCCTCCCTCCCTCTTTCATCGTTTTTGGCATCACCACCACCTCTCTACGCATCATCACCACCACCACCACCACCACCACCTCCTCCTCCTCCTCCACCACCTCCACCTCCTCCTCCTCCTCCTCCACTGTTTCGTTTCTTCCTCCTCCTGACTCCCTCAGGCCGGCCTTGGCGATCTTCCTTCAAACTTCTTCGCAAGCATGGGAGCTGCCTCTGGTCATCATCCTCCCTTGAACCTTTCCAACCCTCCTGCTATCACCACTCCTCCTCCTCCTCCTCCTTCCTCTCCCTCCTCCTTCCTCCCCTCCATCCTCCTTCCTTCGTCGCTCTCGCTTTTCACCGCTCCTTCTCCCCTGCCTTCTCCTCCATGACCTCCTTAGTTCTCATCTCACCCTCACTGCTTCCTCTTATCGTGCCTCATGCTTCTCACTTGATCGGGTAGAGCCTGCAAATGCTCTTAGCATCCCAACTTGGGCGATTCACTTCTCTTCCGTCTTTGAGGTGCCTTCGCCTTCCCTTCCCTCCCTCCCTCCTCCCTCCTCCCTCCTCCCTCCTCCCTCCTCCCTCCTCCCTCCTCCCTCCTCCCGCCTTTTCTCACCTACTCTCTCAGTGGATCTTTGCGATGCGTCTCGTCTGGGACTATGCCGACGCTTCGAAGGTGAAAATCTCTTCCACCTGTCCATCCCCATCCTACCTTCTCATCCACCTCCCCACGCTTCGACTTCGCCTCTCCCCTAACATCTTCACCCCCTTCTCCCTCCTCCTTGTTTCCTTCTGTACCCCAACTCATCTGCTTTCTCTGCTTCGTCTCCCTTCCCTTTGAGTCCCTTGTACTTGAACTGCTTCCCCCCATCTTCTTCGCCTTCTTCCTCCTCCTTCCTCTCGCCTTCTTCCTCATCCTGCTTCTTGGCATCCAAACTCATCCTTCATGCAGGACCAGACGTGGAAGGGCCTTACATGGGGCATGCTTCCCTTGCATGCGAGGTATGGCGACACTTGAGCACTGACAACTTCTTTCCTCCTCCTCCTCCATTCCTCCTCTCCACTCCTTCTTTTCACTCGATTCCCGGCTCTCGTTGTCTACGCGCACTCATCGTTTCTTCCCTTTCAGCGGCGTTGCTGCCTGTACCTATCACTTCTTTTACAACAACCCTGGTATACCTTCCTCACAGTCCCCTCCTCTGCCCTATCCGATCTTCTCCTCCTCTTTACCTGCTCCTAACCTCGACATTTGCTTTGGTTCCTCCTATTCCATCTTCTCACTCCTTCCTCCCTTCTCTCTTGCTCTTTGCCCTCCTCCCTCCGTTTCATTTTCGTTCTCACAAGTGACGGAGCAGATCTTTCCTTTCTTGTTGCCTTGCAAGCTGGACTGACAGTGAGAAGATGCAGAATGTTTCACCTCTGACTGACTTTGCTCCTGCCTCCCCCCCCATCCCCCGTCCTCCTCCTCCTCCTCTCTCCTCCTCCTCCTCCTCTCTCCTCCTCCTCCTCCTCTCTCCTCCTCCGATTTCAGTGCCTTGGAAACTTTACTGTTGCCATTGCTGCAGCAAGAATCGCACTCGCCAACGGCTGGAAGGTATGGGCATGCGTGAACGAGGCGAGATTGAGGGGAGTGGGGAGGAGGAACAGGAGGATGGGGAGACGATGGAGTGGGTGGGGCTGACGGATGTCTCAGGTGCCTTTCTTCTCCTCCACAGGTTTTCTGCGATCTCTCCTCTCACCCTCTTCCCCTCCCCTATCCGCTCTCTTCCTCTCTTGACCTCGCTGCCCTCGGTTACCATACCCTACCCACCTCATCTTCTCTTCTCTCGTCTCACTCCAATCTTCCTCGCCTTCTCCGTTGACCCTCACAGTCTGAATCTTCTCTTACCTGCTCCTATCGATGACGATGTGGCAGAGGCTGCATCACAGCAAGGAGATGAGAAGAAGCAGTTTCTCGAAGTGAGCTTTCCTTCCCCTGCTCCAACCTGCTCTCTATCATCCTTCCCGTTCGCCTGTCCTCGCACCTCATCCTTCTTCTCTTCGCCTCTACACAACTTTCTCTTGTTCTCCTTGCTGACAGTCGTTCAGTCAAAGCCTCCCCAGGAGAGCGACACCATGCTCATCGCCAAGCTTGCCGGCTTGACTGTCACCTCTGCGTATCTGGTGATTGACCTGCTACCTCCTCGTGCGCTCCTGCTGTCTGTCCTCCCACTACTTGTCTCTATGCTCACATCTTACCATCTTCACGCAGGTCAAGTACGGCGAGCTTTTCCTCTCCCTTCCCTTCCAGGCCAACGCAGTCGCCGCCATCGCCATGGCAAGTTTCTTGCCCAAGGCGTGAGTGGCCTTACGATTCTCGCAGGTCGCTACTCCCCCGGCTCTTCTCGCCTCTTTCTACTTGCAGAAGGCGGCGGCAGCACAGGAAGCAGCGTAGAAGAGAAGAGCAGCAAGCAAATTGCAAGCTCCTAACACAAGGATAGGAAAGAGTCAGTAATTTACCCTTTTGTTTACTTCTCCCTGCCTACCAACACTCTTCAACATCACAACACCCCACGCTACACCGGTCAACTTGGATGGTCCAAGCACAATGCCATCACTGCTGCGAGCATGCTTTCTTCTTCTTGTCGCGCACGTCCTTGCTCTGCCACAGAACATCAGTCACGCATGACCAGCACAAGACATCCTTACATCCGAGGCATTGGTTGAAGCTCCCTTGCGCTCCGGTTGCGATGTGCGCGTCGGGGACGCGTGGCGGGTGCCTGAGCTGCTTGACGAGCTCTCCTTGCTCGGCGTGGGTGAGGAGCTTGCAGCAGTCGCTCCATCGGCCTCAAAAGGTGCTGCAGCGCGTCTTACTCGCGCCTGTGACACACGATCAGAATCTTGTTGTGCTGCAGAACCTTGTGCTCACCTGTCCAATCTGAGCTAGACGAGTTTTGAGGATAGGGAATCTCTCCATAACAGCTTCAAAGTCTGATCTCATCAGTCGGAACAACTCGACAGCCTCCACAGGCTTGTTTGTGTTCTTAGGTCCACTTCCTGCTCCCAACGATTTGACATCTGCTGTCCTCTGCTTCGACACGGTGAGAGCAACTTCACCGAAGAAGTCACCTGCACAAGAAGCGTCAGCACATATACTTGGGCATCCAAAGCCACAAATCACCTGTTGTAAGACGATCCACAGTGTTGCCGTTAACAAGAATTTCCACCGATCCAGAATTAATGAAGTACATGCAATCACCTACTTCACCCGCCTGAATAACAGGCTTTCCATACTCAATCTTAATCAGCTGCAATTTCTGCGTAACTTCCTGAAGACAAGCAGGATCGATGTTGTCGAAGATAGGCAACTTTCTGATAAGCAAGAATGCACGATGAGAGCTATGCAGCTTCTTGGCTGAGGCTTCACCAGCATTCTGGATCCACGGATGATCCAAGCACTGCTGTGCGGAGTACCTCTTGGCGGGATCAACAACCAACATCTTGGACACCAGATCTTTCGCTTCTTCTGAAACACCATCCCAATAAGGCGATGGAAATGTATACTCCCCCTTGCGAATTTGTTTAAATAATACTGCTGTAGAATCGTCGTAAAATGGAGGGAAACCGCAAAGCATGATGTAGAGAACCACTCCCAGAGACCAGAGATCAACCTCAGGGCCATAACCATTTGTGAAAGGAAGGTACGGATCCAAAACCTCAGGCGCTACATACCCTGGAGTTCCACAAGTGGTCTTCATCTGGGAATTCTCCGACACAAATTTCGATAGACCAAAATCTGCAACTTTGATCGTATTGTAATCAGGTGAGCTCGGATCATTGGAAGCATAAAGAAGGTTCTCAGGTTTCAAATCGCGGTGAGTGATTCCAATGCTGTGCAAATAATGTACTGCATTGAGAACGTCTGCGGTCACAGAAGCGGCATCCTTTTCAGAGAAATGATCAATAGCGATAATGCGGTCCATGACCGTTCCCCCTGTGATAAGATCCAGAATCAAATAAGTTTTGTTCGCTTCATCATAAACTTCGTGCAGCAGGACGCAGTTGGGGTGTGAAACCTTTTTCATCGTGGCTATTTCCTGCTCCAGTGATTCGGCATCAAAAACAGCATCCTTCTTATCAACGATCTTAATGGCAACCCGAGTTCGGCTAGCCTTGTGAATCCCTTCTTTAACAACCGCAAAGGATCCTTTTCCTATGGTTTTCCCGATTTCATAGGATTTGTGGACTCCTTTTGATAGGATACCCATCTTAGGCAACGGTGTTCAGATACTTGAGACACCTCAAACACCCGACGATGGTAATCCTCTCTGGAGCAAAGACAAACACGTTCCTAAGCCCAATCGACCTCTCCTGGCTTCAATGGGATACTTCCTGCTACGCCAGGCAAATACGTCAGTGAAGGCAAGAAAATTCATTTATCCACAATACTAGAATGAAGTGTCGAAAGGCAATCTAATCTCCCTTAAATCAAATCTCGCTTGAAATAGCACATCAAATCATTACTGCTGCTTAGCTGAAAAATATGCTTCGCATATCAGCAAGCTTGCAACCAAAAGAAACACAGAACACAAAGCAGGCCCAAAGATACAAAAACGTCATTGCCCGTCAAAGCATTTCAGCAAGTCACATGCGTGTTCGCTGAAATGATCAGATTCAAAAAGCAACCAATCGATGACTACTGTCCCATAGCAAGTAACCCCATCACATTGCATCACGTAAGCTACTTGCAATGCAGCTTCTGCGTGAGTTCCAAGATCAAATGAAGAACACGATAATGGAAAAAGATCTTTTCAATGAGAAGGTGCGTTGAAGCAGTCAAGCATTGAACGAGTTCATGACAAGTTGCGATGACAAGAAGGTACAGAGGACAAGCCGGCTTAAGTGTTGGAGCACAGATGTCATGAGGGAGAAGGCAAACAAACCAGGAAAGGAAGGGAGAGGAGAGCAAATGAGCGCTGAGAAACGAAATGAGAGTCAAAACACATCAAGCCAAACAAACGCGGATGAGGAACTGCATTGAGAGCATCCCTTCGCCACGCCATTGCCGCGACGCGGAAGGTTGGCGTGTGACTCGGCCAAGCACCAATGGAGCTTGATCGGTACGTGGGGTGGGTCCTTTTCAGGTATTTACCGGGGTAGAATTCGTAATTTTTGGTGATCAGGTTCTCTTGAGCAGGTGGGTACTGGGGATACACCGGTGTACATCTCCATTGGAGGGTCCTGCAAAGCAAAATACACCTAATGAGGTGGGGTACTGTTGCAGGGTGACTTCAACACCTCGATCAGATTGTATTGTTTTGAGGGGTAGGTTGTTGAGAATTCATAAGGTAGGGTACCTATCCCAAGGGACGTTGGCGTACAAAATCGCCATGGAGCGTGTCTAAACTTAGATGGCTGAAGCACACGAATATCTGAGTAACTGAGTCTAAATGTGGTTTACATATTTCAAATATAAAGAAAACATTTGAGTATTTGATGGTATATTGGGAGTAATATCCAAATGAATACGCCAAATCTTGAATCGATGTAGAATGGGTGCGACTTCAGATCAGATTTGTGGGTGGGTGGTTTCATATCTTGGGGTGGGTGTTTTGAACGCCGACATGGGGTGGTCATACCCGATCGCCCCACCCCACAGGCAGACCGGGGAGTTCAAGATCTTTGTGGGGGTGAGTGATACTTTACAAACCCTGTGGATAGGGTATTTTGCTTTGAGGGTACTTAACCCTAGGGGTAGGGCTCCTTCTTGTCTCGAACACGTGGGGTCCTTAAGCCCCATAGGGGTCAAAGAGACCGTAGCGGATGTAGCGAGCAAGGGGTACCAAAAGGTAAAGTAATGTGATGCGCAGGGTAAAGTAGGGTAGGGTAGGGTGATGGAGGGTGGGGTAGGGTAGGGTAAGATATTTCACCAGCAAGATGATTGTGAGAAGATAAACGGGGTTGATTTGGGGGTGGTGAGGTAAGGGGGTAGGGTATTAATCGTCTTCCAATTAAAGAAAAGATGGGTAAAGGGAGGGTAGCCAAGCCTGTCCAGGGGTTTTAATTACAGTGATACCCTTATGGATAAAATTGGGGTAGGGTACTGGAGGGTTTTGGGGGGAGCAGGTGGGTGAGATGTGAAAGGGGGGGTCATCGGCGAGAGATGGTGGGGGTTGTCCCATTCATGCAATTAATAATAAGACGGATTATAAATCTACAATCATATTGTAAATGTATTAGCCATACCTCATTTCTATTCGTTGTAAATTGGTTTAACTGCTGGCCGCGCTGTGCGTACTGCGGTGATCTGAGGCGGGTCTATCGTAATGTAGTCGTCGATGAGTAATAATTTTGGCCATGAGTGTGTTTCGAGAGGAGCAGGGGCAGGAGCAGGAGCAGGTGAAGCAAGACCAGGATCAGGAGCAGGAGGAGCAGCAGGAGCAGCAGGAGCAGCAGGAGCAGCAGGAGAAAATCATGTGCAAAAGGGGGATGGTGATGTGACATGGAAGTCGACCGTCCTTGCTCTTCTTGACGAATGACGTAAGGTTTTGACATTTAGAAGTTAAGGGATACAGACGTTAAGAAGGACCAGGCTGCGTGTAAGCTTCCTTGGTGTAGACGGCGGAGGAAGGGGAGGAAGTTGAAGAGCCTTGGAAAGAGAGGGTCGGTATGTGGAGGACCCTTCAACCAGATCTCGTGCTCGCGTTCACGATGGGGCTACACGAGCGCCTTGGTGAGGGCTCGCCTGTACAGATCCTGACAGCAGACATCATTGAGCGCGAGATCGCCCGTGTCCTGCTGTGGTCTTGTGGCCAAATCGCAAATCTTCATGGTGAGGTGGTAGAGTTGAAAGGACATTTTCGGCTTCCCCATTTCCTTACCATCGATGAAGAGGGGAACATTTTTGTTTTGGACGAAGAGTTGGAATCCATCCTGACCTTCAGCCCTCATGGCGCGCTGGTGCAGAAGGTCAAGTATGATACCAAGGTACTGCAGGTCCCTCGAGGGCTGGTGGGTGACCGAGGCCAGCTCTTCACGTGCGACTGGGGCATGCACTATGTGGTCAAGCTTGCAGCATGGTGGCCAACTGGAAAGCTGGACAGCGTCGAGATCGATCGATCGGGCAAGTTGTGCTATCCCTACGGGGTCGCGATGACGAGCGAGCGGGATTTGGTGGTGACCGACTCCGGGAGGTCACGGGTTGTTGTCATGAAGCGAGGAGGTGGCGAGATCAGCATCGAGAGCGAGGCCTTTGTAGAGCCCATGTCAGTAGTTGTTGACAAGGAAGACAACATCTACGTGACTGGTGAGAGAGGAGGAGGAGGAGGACGAGGAGGATGACGTCGGACGCCGCAGATAGGGAGGAGAACTTGTCGCAGGGGCCGGTAGGGAAGGTGATACTAATGACGCTGAGTGGAGAGCTGGTCCGGAGCTTCACTTCATGGTTCGACTGTGAGAGGAAGACGCTGGTTCCTCTCGGTGAGGAGCTAGCGATCGCTCTAGATCCCTGGGGATACATCTTCATCTCCGACTATCTCAACGGAACAGTCATGTGTCTCAACTCCGACTTTGAGGGGCAAGGGTGAATACTGTGTTGCTTGCTTCCCTTCCTTCCCTCCTCATTCTTCTTGTCTGCAGATACTCAGAGTTCGATGGCTCTGAACTGAAGCCCTTTGGACTTGTGTGCGACGCTGGGGGCAACTTGTTGCTTACTGACGAGAGGCAAGCACGGGTGCTAATGATACCTCACTCCTTCTTCCGGCAATCTACGACTTGACTTGTACATATCCATACAAACAAACAAACCCTCTTGCTACGATGCAATTTCACGCATGTAACATCTTCGCTTTCATCTTCCATGTCTCAGTAAAACAGGTCGATGTTATCCTCCACGGTAGAAGTGCTCTCTCCCATCTCCTCCCCTTGCGCCAGCCGCTCTTCCACACACCCCCTTGGCTTTCTCAGTACACATTCCACTCACTTCTGCCTGTACATAGCCAACGCCTTCTCCAGCTCAGCTCGCTTCTGCTTGTCCGACTTGATCCTCTCCATGTACTGGTCGAGCTGTTTCTGCATGCCCATCTGCAGCACCTGAAGCCGCCCAGCAAGTCAGACAGGCAGAGAGGAGGAGGAGGAGGAGGGTAAGCATGCTGGTGATGGTAGAGACCTGTAGCTTTGCCACAGCGGCAGCTTCCTCATGGATCATCTCCTCTACAAACTCTGCGAGTTGCAACTTGAATCAGACTGCAGTCGCACATGCATCCTCGTTCCTCCTCCAGTCTTACTCCTTTGCTGCGCCCCTCTTCGTCCTCAACCTTTCTACTCCCCTCTTCCTCCCTCACCAGGGTCTCTGCTCTGAATCGCCATGATCTTGCCAGTGACGACAGGGCAGGTGGGAGATCGCACGTTGTGCTCGTAGGCAGGATCATCCTTAGGGCCCCACTCGGCGAGCTCGAGGTTGCAGAAGGCGCAGAGCACGCGGTCCTTGTACTGGTCGTTGGGGGAGAAGTAGAAGCCTTGCGACGCGAGCGCTGCTGGGGTGGCGAGGGGGCGCATGGCGGCAGCGTGCGGCCACTGTCTGAAGGTCTTGAGGCGAGAGTCGTAGGTGGACATGGCATAGTTTTGGATGGAGGCGAAGAGCGAGTCGTTCTTGCAGGTATGCCGCATAGTCTCCTGCATGCTGAACCCCGCCTGAGCTAGCGACGCTGTAAGCTCCCGCTCTTCTCGCTCCAACCTGACAAACCAGCGCTGTCATGTTCTCCCTCCTTGCAACCTCAGCCTACCGGTCAATCTCGTCGCGAAGCAGCATGCTCTCTTTCTTGTATGCCGCCAACTCTGCTGACAGACGGTCTGACTCCTCATTGGCCAGCAAGAACTGCTTGGAGGCTTCTTGTAGTTCAAGTCCCGCCATCTGCCCAGACAGACGGTCAGGTACGCCCAATGCGATGACGTGCGTTGAATCCTCTGCATCATTTTACACAACCAGGGCAATGGCTACCTTCTTGGCATTCTTGCTTACTGCTCTCCTGCTACAAGATGGCATCCAACATGATACCAACGTATCCTACATGACACAAACAGTGTGTCTGAACGTATCCGACATGACACAAACAGTGTGTCTGAACGTATCCTACATGACACAAACAGTGTGTCTGGCACTAACTCTATCTCTACATGTCCTCTCGTTAAGCGTCCTATGCCTCTTCCCCTCCTCCACCCTTCTCAACCCTTCGCTGCATGTCCATCTGAGAGCTATTTTATCCGAGTGCACTGGCATGCCCACAGTGCGGCCGGGCCCGGCGCTCGCCGCCGCCGGGCCGGCCGGCCGCCGGAGGCTCCCCGGCGGCATGAGATCCGATGATCGGGTGGCGGGGGCCCTCGGTGTACTTGCTGTGCACCCTTGTACTCGACTTAAAGGAGACGGCCGCATTCAGTATCCGCTGCCTTGAAGGCCTCCTCTTCATCAGTTCAACGGTTCAGTGTTTCTGTCACCGGGTACCGTGACGGTGCTCACTGAGCTCAGCCTCGGATCCGGGTCAATCAGAGGGGTTGCAAGGAGCTTTTGTACCATATATAAATCCTAAAATCTCTCAAAAACAACTTTCATGTAATTACTCAAAAATCATTTCTGGCGTACAGGCTAGCACCCGGTGACCGTGTGATTGAATCATTTGCGGTGTCACGGGGCCACAACTTGACGATTCGCAGCTGCCGCACGGCCGCCGCAGGCTCTCCGAGAGCCTCACTGACACGGCACTGTATCAGGCTCAGGGGCTTGTTGATCACTCCTATGGGTGCTTATGACCGTCACAGCGGTGGCGGCCGCAGTCAGCTTGCCAGGTTCGCCAAGACCGCCATGTTCAATGACTGTCTGTCGGACATGCTTGTTCCTGGGTAGCTTTGCTTGCTTGTGCCTGGTTAGCTTTGCTTGCTTTGCGAGTCCGAGCTGGTGTCTGAGTGAGGCAAGGGAGGGTCGACAGTGAGCAGCTGAGAGAGGCTCGAGCTTTGAGGCCCCCGTATCCCCTGCCTGCCGCTCCTGCTGTAGTCGAAGTGAGTCTTGGGGGGCACGAAGACAAGGTCGTCGATCAGAGCTGGGTCCTGCACGCGAGGATCATTACAGGACAGCGACATGCTTCTGTGCCGCAGCATCGCGGAAGAGTCTCTGCTCCTGCTGCTCGTCTTGACAGGTGCAGACGTCGGTTTCGAGGCTGACTCAGGCGTCTTGCTCTCAGCAAAGGATTTCGATCGACTGCGATGGACGAACGTGCTGGAAGGCACTCGATTGATCACTTGCTGTTGCGCTCTTGAGTCGACGAGTCTCGAAGAGTCCTCAAAAGTTCCGCTCGCCTTGTCCTGGTCTTGTTCTGCCGGTGGCTCCAAGACTGCTGCATGCAGAAGCTTGGCCGCTGGGATCGGGCCGAGAGAGGGCGGGAGAGGCTCCGGAGCAGACGGCACTTGGGGGTTGTGGGAGAGGCTGCGAGTCACCTTGACGTCTTTGGTTGCCTGTTGGCTGTTGAGGAGAATTTTCCTGCCGATTGCTGCATCAGCTTGCGATGGGGCTGGTTGACTGGAAACTCCTAGTTGAGTGCCTGGGGGAGGGTCAAAGGGGAGCACATGGTCTGGTTTGAGACTGACTCACCTAGGACCTTCTCAAGGGACTGAGTGAAGGACTTGAAATCTTGTCTCAGCGCCTTCACGTCAGCTTCGATCGATCTCAGGCGAAAGTCGTTCTCGTCCTCAACTATCTGACTGACGTGAATGAACTCTTCCTTGCTGATTTGATGATCCTTGTCAGAGTCCAGCCGCGCAATCACGAGTGGATGGAGAGAAGGAGGAATGCCCAGCAGCTCCAGAGCTTCCTTGGCTTCATTCAGGTCCAACACGCCATTCTCGTCCTGGTCGACCTGATGAAAGATATCGAGGACTCTGCCCGTGCCTCTGTTTGAGTAGCCCCACGAGTTGATTATATCTGACTGCTGTGCCGCCTGCATCGCAAGCAACTTCATCATCAGAAACAGCGCAGAGAACTCCTTGCTCGACGTCTCTGCCATCGCATTCGACATCTTCCTCAAAGCGTATCGACGAAGCTCTTCTTTCATGATCTCTTGGAACTGATCACGGCTGAACTCGCCGTTGCTGTTGCAATGCCTTCCTCCTTCTGTCAGAAACTCGAAGTCGTCCTGCAGGATGTGGATCGGCGAAGAGGTCGGAAGCTGCTTGAGGCCTCGCTGGAACTCCTCGAAGTTGAGGCCACCAGACCCGTCCTTGTCCAACCGCTCGTAGGTCTCCGAGATGCGCTGCGTTAGATCCCTTTCGTTGACGAACAAGGCAAGATGAGCTGAGAGAGGATCGAGCACGCTCTTGGAGCGACGTAGCTCCTTCTCCTTCTCCTCTTGCTCTCGCTTCTCAGTCTCTATCTGAAGCTTCTCGGCTTGAATCGAGGTGATGAATTCATCCAGCAGCACCGCCACAACCACGTTGATGAGGAAAACTCCAGCGATGAGCACGTAGCTCACGAAGAAGAAAGAGGTCCAGTAGTCGAATTGAGTCTTCATCTCCGGTCCGTCGAAGATCGACCGTGTTACTGCAGAGGCCCAGCTGCATGATCATCGTCAGTGCTGAAAGGCGCGGTCTCAGTCAAAGTTGATCGTTACCTGTCTCCTGTGACAACTTGAAACATCTGCGATACCCCAGCAAGGTCAGAACCGATTAGGATAAGTGATTGTGTCACCGTGAAGAGCGATCTCGAGAAGGTTCCGAAGAAAGCTTCACTTCTTGCGGAGAAGAAGTGAGTTCCGAGAGCGGCCCAAATACAAGTAACAAGAGCGAGGATGATGAAGCTGTTGGCAACAGGAATGACGGCAGAGGCCAGGGCTGTGATGATTCTGTTGAGAGATTTCAACTTGCGGAAGACTCGAGCGACTCGGAAGACTCGGATAAGTCGAAACACTTTGAGCGAGGGAATCCCCGACGCAAGAACCGTCAGCAGCGACAAGCTGACAATGATTACATCCAGGAGATTCCATCCATCAGATAAAAACTCCTTGCACCAGTTCTTGGACTTAGCAAACAAGTTGACAGCGAGTTCGAAGCAGAAAACAGAGGCAAAGAAGATGTCCATCTGATCAAAGAGGTTTTGAGTTGGACTGCCATCTTCTGGCAGAATCTCTGCTTGCACAAGATCCATAGCAAAGCTCGCCATGATGAGGCTTGCAATTACAGTCTGAGTTATTGAATTCTCATAAGCGCGCTTAACACGCAGTCTCCACAGTGCCAACGGTCCTTTTTCAGTTCTGTTCGCCTCTTCTTGCACCCAACGTGCATGTTTCGATTCCCTTTCAATGGCTTCCGACCATTTGCCAGCATCTGTACGGAGTGCTCTATGAATATAGGCTCTGCCGCTATTGAATCCGTCAGGAATAGTCTCAATGATGATTTCCTGGTAGTCATCGTTGCTTTCGTCTTCATCCTCTTGCAGAAAGACCTTGTTGATCTCGTGCAAGGGGATGTGATCGATGATCAAGTCTGTCGAAGGGTTCGCGAAGTACAAGCACTCCTGCGTCAAGACGGCCAGTCGCGGCATCCATGTGATGGTGGAGCCGACGCGTTTCTTATCGATGAGTCCTTCTCTGATCCGCGAGGACTCAGGTGGCAGCGTGAAACTTTTTGCCATGTCTTCGGGCACTACATTCTCGTGAACGATGTGCCCTGCATTTCGTATCGCGGAGATGGCTGCTGCCATGATGAGGGATCTGAGAGGAGGATATGTTAGTTTCAGCCATTTCATGCCATTGAAACAAACTAGTTGCCATGCGACTGAAGCACAAGCATCTGACATGCACATACAACAACTATGCTTATTCAAGCTTTACGCAAGCATGTAAATAATCTGATTCGAACCTGTATGGTGGCCGATGTTAACAAGAGAACGGATGATGATCAGAGACAATGCATCACAGCAACAGCGCCTTTACGATCACCGTGAACAATCGTACTGTTCTCTTCCTAAACTACGCATGCCGCCGCGCTCTGGTCAATTGCTGAGAGCCACCCCCCATCTTTTTGACTTGTGAACCCCCTATTCCCCTGACTACCCCCTCGTTCCCCACAGAGTACCTCTGCGAAGCGTAACTTTCAGCCTTCCACCCACCCACCCGGTGACCCACCTACGACGCAAGCTGCAAGGAGCTGACCACCCCTGCAAGACTCCAATAACCCACCGGTCATGCTAGAACCTTTTCGCACCCCATGATCCATTTGTTAACTTTCGCAAAGGGCCCGGGGGTATTCTAGACTACCTTGTTGTCCCGGGGTCGGTACCCTACAGGCTGTTGGATCACGGTAGCTCGGATACAGAGGGGTGTAAAGTGGGGGGTCACCGATCTACAACCCCACCCCCCACCCCCCCTATGCTTTACACGTTAAATTTTTCTTCGGATTGCTTTACTTTTGCCCAGTTTTTGTACCAACAACCGGACCACCCCCTCGCTTCCCCGATAAATCACCCCTCTCCTCATGCCTATCAACCACCCCCTTTCGTCCATGTGACGATTGCACACTACCAACCGTCATGGACCCGGCCGTACCCGCCTGCTGCGGGCCCGGGCCGCGGGGCCCCGGCGGCCGGGCGGGTCGGCCGTCACAAGTTGAATGCTAATCGGACTGACTCCCTCAGTGAGCAACTTGAAGCAAATCGGCAAGTTACGTGACTCACTGGCGACAGCTAAAAGTAGGCTCCTGCAAACTTTCCGACGCCAGTTGACCCGGGCCCCATGAAGTGAGGAGTCGGCATGTCGTCTCTCGGCCCGTCTGCCATGCTGGCGACCTACAAATGGAGCATCAAACGTGTCCGGGGCGACACATATCCGATAGAATCGCAAGCTTACAAGCTCGGTCATGGTAGAACGCTCGTCAGAGGACACAAGTTCGTCGCCGATGCCTGGCAAGTTATCCACGGGGAGGTTTTCGTTGGCCTGCGCAGCAATCAGTTGTAAAGAGGACCGACAAGGGCTCACTTCGATATGATCTGCGTTCTCATCATCTGACAGCTCTGGGGCGATTGTGTGCTTTGTAACATGACCACCTGTCTCTACCACCATCCCGGCAACTGAGAAAGGATTGTGCAAAGTGTGGAGCTTCCCAACAGCTTCCTTGTACTTGAGCTCGAGGTCTTGTATACGGTTCTCGAGCCCGCTCAATCGACCTCGTGCTGACTTGTACCGAGTTTTGAACTCCATATTTCTTCGCAGCAACATGTCTCTCTCTGTCTCCAGTCGAATTCTCTCCTCGTGTTCCCATGCATATCGCCTCATCGCTCGTTCATGATACAATTTCAAGTCCTCCTGCAGAAGCCGCTCGCGGAAAAGAATGTCATCGATCCTAGAGATGTTATCGGCGGTGTTTGAGCAAGCCTGCCATGTCTGAACCATCGCATGGGAGGCGAAGCTGTGCGATTGAGAGGCCTCGGAGAGTTTGCTGTCAGAGGTGTGGCCCATGATGCGAGACTCGATCAGCTGCAGGTCGTTGTGCTTGGGGCCAAAGTCGAAGTCGACGTGCTTCACGTGGATATCAGGATGAGATTTCTCGCAGGTGGAGGTGTAACGACTGCCGTGACTATCCTCTAAGGTCAAGCTGACACTCTTGACGTTCTTGTGCCGGTCAAAGTGAGCGTCGAGATCTTGCAACGTGTTTGCATAGCACGGTTCATCTTGTATCATGAGGAGGGCGTCTCCTACCTCAGGCACTCTTGATGCCCTAGACGCACCTCCGTTCTTTAGGATGCCATGAACCAATATCTTGCTGCTTGTTAGCGAGAAGATGATGCCAACTCCAGCACGGGCAAGCACACTTGTCAGCTGAACTTTACATTCGCCCTCGTTCGACGACGTTGACTCAGACAGACTTGTTTCGTGATAGTGAAGTTCGCATGCCGAGTTAGAATCCTGGTTCTCCTGCCCGTAACTTGCCAGTTCTTTCCTCAAATACTCTTGTCCTGCTGGAATAGCGATCTGTGAGCCAGCCATCTCTGTTTGAGGCACCGCAGTACAAGCTGCTGCATCAGCATCACCCACAACTCGACTGAATATTCATTATCAGTGATCAAGAACAGCACAAGTCAATCTGATTGTTACCTGTCGTTCTCATTTGCTCCTTGTTTGCTCTGATGTGATAAATTCAGGATTAGCGCGAACAGCTTGCAAGAGCAAGATGAAACAAGTCACATTGATGTCTGCGTTGGATTGAGTTGACGGTGAGCGGGAAATCCTGCATCTCTTATGAGAACATCCTAACACCAACTAGCCCGCGTACCGGGCAGCTGCGAGAACTGCAGCAGCAAGGTGATCTGTTCTCTTCTTCCAATCATCTAGACCTCGTCTACTGGACTCCTCCTGCCATTCAGCTTTCAGGAGGGCAGCAACTTAAAGCCTTCCCTCACCTCTGCACTCGAAGAGATGTTGGTGGGGAACTGCAAAGCCTGAGGGGAAGGAGAGGATTGTCGGGTGATGGGAGGGACAGCATCTAATCGTCAGGTCAGAGGAGACGGCCACATCCCGCACGGCGTTTCTTGCAGCAACCTGCCGACATTCGAGGTCGCAGAGGAGGGGAACCGGAGAATCCTCGCCTTGGACGAGATCCTGACAAGCTTGTTACATCATGCCGCCGCACTTGGCGGCAAGGTTGTACCTGTGTTGATTATCATCCCGCGATCAGCCTGGGGAGAGGGATGGTCTGCGTTCACCGCCGAAACATTAGACTCAGCTAAGGCCTGTGAGGTTCTGAATCACCTGTGGAATCGCTACGATGAGTTTGCTGAGCTCCTGGCCCTTCCGGCAAAGATTGATTCGTTGCTGAAGGAGAACTTGAAGGAGACGTCGTGACCCTACGACTCTGCAACAATCAGACTCAGTGTCTGATATCTTGACGATCTTGAAGCATACAAGTCGAGGAAGAGGAGGTTTGGGTGAAAGTCGGTTGCTACTCATTGGCGGACACGGCTGTCAATCTACAGGCATCCTGCCCATTATAACGATCAGACCTTCAGCAATGCAAGCTTTCAAACTGTGAGCAAGATTCAGGCTCATTCGAGATGAAAAGTACAAGAACACAGCGAAATGCTATAATTCAGTGTCACACCTAGTTTAGGTAAGTTACATCACTCCTAGTTTAGGTAAGTTACATGGGATCAAGATTTTAGCAGAACAGATAAGGACAAAAAGAAGCGTCACAGGAGAATGCAAAAGATACAAATATACGTGAATCAGATCCTGGAATCACTATTGAAAATTAATGGAAACGAATAGTTACAATGGGAACATGTTGCAACACTTTTCACGTTAACGTTATCCTTGTCACGCCATCGAGAGTAGAAGCAAAGCTGCAGCAACACAAAGCAACACAATCTACTAGGCTACAGCAATGCAAGGCTCGGTCAGACAGATAGTCTAACTGAACATGAAGAATTGAAAGGGCAGGAGGGGGCGGTGGGAGGGGGCGGGAGACTCGGGAGGAAGGGGAAGGGACCCGAGAGGGGGGAGACAAGAAAGTAGTGGGGCTGAGAGGAGTTTGAAGGAAGACGGGAAAGCGTGTCCGGGGAGGAACTGCTAGAGTCGCGAGTAAGAGGAGACTGAAACTTAGAGCTGGAAGGCTGCCGAGAGGGAGGAGGGGAGGGGAGGAGAGGAAGGACATAGCCCTGCATGGAGCTGCGCCCACAAGCCTAGCTGCCGCCATTGTGGCGCTCAGCGGCTCTGATGAGAAACGGCTGGTAGCATCCAGAAAGAAGAGCCGTCTAGAGGAATGGTAGAACCTGAACTAGGACCTCGGTACCTAGCTCACGGTACGACCTCCTGCCGCAGCCGGGCCGGGCCCCGGTGGGGAGCCTCGGAGTTTGTTCTCAGAGAGATCGGACCCGGCGGCCCGCCGGGCCGGCCCGGCGCGGCTCGTTGAACCGGGCCTCAAGCGCCTCCCGACGCCGGGGCAGGGCAGCCCGGGGATCGGACGGGTCGGAGCGGCGGCGACTATGCGGCCTACACACATTCTCCACACTGACAATCCAGGTTGATTGTTCCGATGATAGCCTCCACTTACATGTGACCGTCGCTGAGACGCCGAGATCCGATCGGATTCAAGTTGAAGTTATTCTTTTTTCTAATTTATTCATTGCCACCGTTGGCAGGGCTAGTGTGACACAGGCTTTGACTGACTCGTACACTGTCATGATACGCCCGGTAGTGATCGGCGAGTCGCCGGAAGCCTTGAGAGGAATCTCGGAGCTGCAAAACACGCAAATGTGTATGGATGCACAGAGTTCACAGTGGCATCAAAACCCTGTAGCGAACGTGAGTTGCTCCAACAACATCATAACAAGATCTAGACCTCTTAGCTTGTCGAGCGTATCGAACTGATCTTGCAAGACTGCGTCAAAAGTAGTCGCATCATAATCCATCTCCTGCAAAACTCACAAGCTTCAGCGTGTTTGGTCTCAATCTCTCTCGGCTACCAATAGTCGAGCTAAATGCATGGAAGTTGAGCTGACTGGTGCCCATGGCTCGATTTGATGGCTCGAGTTTAGTAGGATCGTACTCTCAGTTCTTGTTGTGCTCCGAAGTCTGTGCAGCAAAATCTTAAGCATTCTCACAGCGAAACGACAAACGTGTCACATTGTGCGGAACTTGAGCACGGCACCTCGCAGCTCATGCTCGTTCATTTCACTGACATTTTTTTTCATCAGGAGATCCATCTCCTCGTCGTTCAATCCATCCAGAAGACAGGCCTGCCTGCCATGCTTCCTTGTACTGCTCTGAGTCCGGAGGTTCACCTTGAGAAACGATCATCCACGCAGACGGCAAGAATGGACAACGTGCGACTCATTCTTGTGCTGCATACAGAACTTAATCTGTCCACCTGACTGCTACACCATCAGCTGAAGCACTTGCTGTTGACTCCTACCTCGCCATAGCTGGCTTGCTTCGTGCAGTTTTCCATGCGGCACTTCCTACTTGCGACATTCTGCATATCCTTAGTCCTTGCAGAGCAATCAGGCATAAAAGCGCAAAAATTTGAGGAGGTCCTAGATACCTGTGCAAATTGCAGTAAACAGGAGGAGAGCCAACCAGCCCGAAACATGGCTGCTTCGAACAGCCTTCCTCTCTTCGGCGCAAGGCGATCACGAGAGCACTTGATTGATGACAGCAGTTACCTGCACTTCTTGTGGAGCCATTGTCTCGGAGTGCTGCCCCTTCTGTCGCTTCTTTGCTTGAGGTAAACTTGTCACGCTGCTGTGCAACCAAGAAAGAGGGGAGCTCACGGGAAACGAGGACCGGATTCTTCTGTGCCTGCTATGCTGTACACCAGAAGAAAACGGCAGGTCTGCGTTGAAGGGCATTGAGGTGGGAGGAGTCAGCAAGAGCAGCTCACACCATGGATCACTCGGTGCAAGGCCTGCTTATGCTCTTGACAGTAGAGCTTGATGCTCGTCCCTGGATGTCCGTGCATCGCCTGGTGCTTTCGTGAACTCAAATACCACAAGGTCAGCAGTACTTGGTTGGAGCAGCTTCCTTGCAGGCAGACGTCAACATGCTCTAGCTGAGGAGGGGCTGGAGGGGCCGGGTTCAAGGGAGACAACGCGGAGAGGAGCGCGTTGTTGTTCTCATGCAGCTCTTGAGCGACCTGCCTCCATTGAAGGTCGTGCTGTGGAACATGTCCCAAGGACGAGGCGAACAGCAAGAGTGAGAGAACAAGTATGCTCATATCAAGCAGCCTCTGCCTCGAGCCCGGGCACCATGGTAGCCCGGGCACCATCCCAATTCCTCTACCCGGAGGCGGGCAGAGCATGAAGCCACAAGTCAATCATCCTGCTGCTGCTCTTACTCCTGCTCCTGCTCTTACCCCTGCTCCTGCTCCTCTCATCGAACAGTCCCGAGCCAGGGTCTCTGTCACAGCATGTAACTCCTGCACGACATCGGCATGGGCACCCACATGGGGATGGCAGCTGGTACGGCACCGGAAGGGATAGTATCTTGCATTGGTCAACCATCATCCCGGAAACAACTTCCAGTTTTTTGTTGAGCTCCGAACCTCGGAGATTTCTCCATGCTGAGGGAGTAGCGAGATTCATAGATGCAATGCTCGCGCTGCCTGGCGGCTTTTCTGCTGGTGATGCATGCAGTGGGAGGAGAAGAGAAGAGAGATCTCGGCGTTCTGCGTCAGTTAGGACACCATGAAGACTCCTGGTCCTTTCCTGCTATCGTGACCTCAACTTGTCTCCCTCCTGCTGTCTCGCCTGGTTTCTTGTCTGGCCGCATCTATCACAGCTTCCTTGGCCCGCGGTTCGATCTGTGTCCGCGGGAGTTTGCGGTTCCATTCCACCATGACACCGTCGTCATGCGTTCTTACTTGTTGGTTCGACCAGTGGACCAGGAGAACTGCCGCAGCATCGTCGCACTCGTGGCTGAACGATTAGCGAGACACCCCAGCCATAAACGATACGCGAAGATGAGAAGCTGCGTCAGGTCTGTAGCAAAGAGAATGCTCGAAGACTGGGAGTATGAGATTGCGGTCAACATGTTCGCCTCTGAGCTATCTCTCAGAAGCAGAGTGAATACAGCTTTGCTCTGTGATGCGTTGCAGCAACAGATTACCCTGTTCGATGCGTGGACAGAGGATCGCCTGCAAGAGGTTGAAACGCGTGAAATTGACCTGCCTGACTTGACAAGTGCGATTCGATTGGCAACGACGCAATGCAACATCACCTTATGGTGGCTGTGCAACGATACAAGGCCCGAGAGTGAAGCCTTGGAGTTGTTGACACGATGGAATTCGTTGCAGTTGTTGGCCTCCAAGACTGTTGATCAAGCTCTTCGTATTCTTGTCCATGTCTGCAACAAGCTAGTGGATGATGCATACATGCGATGGTTGGGAAGGCCAGCAGATACAGCAGGGTTGAAGGCATACTCGAGTCTGATCCTCAATGAGGGGAAGACTGCTCAGCACATGAGAGCAATCCTGCAAGAAAGTGACGAATACAAGGGGAGGTGCAAGAGATTCGATTGCACGTCAGCAGGAACGATGGTAGAAAAGGCCTTCTTGGACGAGCTGCTCCGAGAGCCCGAGCAGCAGGCGGTGGAATCCTACTCAAACCTCCTCATCAGCACTGGAAACCTCTCCCTTGTCGTTGAGATTCTCAGAAACTCTTCTGAATATGCGGAACTTCACCGCATTAAGGGACGGGCAGAGCAGGTCGGTCGGTACGTGCGCATGCTTGACGACAGTGACGAGGAGTGGCAGACACTCAAGGAGGTAGAGGCGGTGTTTGCTGAGGTGTTGGGAAGGAAGCCGGACAGGAGAGGAGCCTCTTCCTACACGCGTGAGATTCTGTTGGGACATCTGACGCCGCAGGAGCTTAGAAATGCCTTGCAAGAGAGCGACGAGTTCAACAACATCGCCTCCTTCCTCTCTCGCTCCTTGACACTCACTGAGGCTGTCAAATGGTCCCTCCCAACCTGTCTCAGTGACCTGCCGCTCGCATCCCTCCTAAGCAAAGAGCCTCAGATTGAAGTTTACACCTGTACGTGCTGCCTTCGCTCTGTCGTTTTGCTCCTTCGTGGCTTCTATGTCCTCCTCTACTTCTCTTCCTTGCCTGATCAATGTTCATACAGACTCCTTGTCTTTTCTCCGATCACGGCGAGATTACGGAGCAGGCAGGTGGTGTAGGAGACAAGATTGCAACAGTCCTCATACGAAGGTGCTACCTGTGCTCGTACACCAACTGTTGCTCTTACTCTAAATGTTGGCAGAGCTGTGGGCACTGGCCGGTGGAGCTTTACAACATCATAGAATTGGTTGGGCAAGAGAAAGCTTGTAGCCAGTACAATGAAATCTCCCTCTCAGATGGTTTTGGGCGACGATGAAGATGAACAGCTCAAGTCATTCAGGTCGTCGGCGCTTGCGGGGCAAGAGAGAGAGCACGAAGAGCGCTGGCCAACCTTGGCTTTCGAAGATCGTCTTCGAGATCGGAGAAGCATCGTAATCGATATTTGCTATCTCATCTCGTGACCTCTATCCAACATCTCCTCTCGCGCTGCTCCCCTCAGTGCTCTTACAGAATGTCCGAGCTTGTACTGACTGCTTCGTTATGACCTCAGGCTTCGATGTATAGCGAATTGTATGGTCGTTTTCCTCTGCCGCGTGAATTATCTGCAGCAATCTCTGCAATCTCGCAGAACGGGTGATAGACAATTGAAGTTGTTCCTTCCTGTGACTGACATGTGACAGTTCGAGTCTCGATGTGTTGGAGAAGAAGATGAGGAATGAATCTAATCATGTGCTAGATTCCTCGATGTTGATAAATTTTGGTGTGAATTTCTGTGTTGGAAGATGAAGGCATTGCAAAACACAACCGACACGTACACCAAGTGGTTGGACGCGGTTCAAACGATGGTTTGACAATAATGCGTGAGGTTTTAAGGCTGACATGTTACCTGCCAGGTCTCTCTCTTCGACCTCTTCGACTTGTCTCTGCCTGAGGAGATTCATTCCTGCTTTCGCAAGGTCGACATGATGCCATCAAGCCTCATCTTACTTGAGGCAGGGGATGGTTTACAGCTCAGCTCAGAGCAAGCTCGGGTCCGGTGACGTCATTCGAGTCTGAGCGCGATAACTTGGAGTAGGTTCGCCTGTTTGGCCTCTGAGTCCATCGAGAAAACCCTTGAGCAGGCGAGTCGCTCATGTCTCAGGGCTTGAAGTTTGACGTCTCGTGACAGGGAGCGGCCGAATCGTCTCCTCCATGTCTATGCAGATCGATGAGCGAGAGAGTTTGTCAGAGAGGAATGCTTTTATGCAGGTTGATGCTCCCTTGATCTTTCACGGCATAATCTCTCCTCTCCTCTCTGCTCCTGTGCTGTCCTGTTCGTGTCGTGTCGTGTCGTGTCGTGTCGTGTCATGTGTTGTCTTGTCCTCTAATATGAATCAGATGGGTTCATGACGATGATTGCAGACCGTTGGAGTCCATGGTAATTCCCAGCGAACTACATCACTGCAATCAAGACACACACTTGTCATATCTTACGTGTATTTCATCGAGATGCATCAATATGGATGAGCTGAGTTGTGAAGCAGACGGTAACGTTTTCTGGCCAAGATCTTCCAACGATCTCTTTCACGAGGTAGACGACTGGTTCAAATAGCATGCTTGCTCATGACACGCTGTCTAGTTTGAATGCCACAACACCGGCAAGCTCCTTGCGCAGCTGCAGAACCGTTGGAACTCTCATTCTCCTCTCTTCCACAACGCGACCTGCATGTAAGTTCACAACTATGACGAACTCTGTGATGATTGATGCTCCAATATCAGATCTCCGCGAGGCTCTTGGCAGCAACACGATGGTGAAACCACGTTTCCTCTGGCTATGTACGTCAACGACCGCCCTCTCTACTTTGCAGAGGTGACAGTACGATTCTCTTTCATACCGGCGCTCCTCTTAAAGTGCTTCTCCTCCCCTGTCCTTCCTTCTTATGTCAGCGTTGTCTGACTGCTACAGCAGGTCATCCGCAGCCTTCAGGCCGCCAGAAGCGTCTCAACCATCAAGCTGCTCGTCGTCTCTCTTGACTCAGTTCGCCAGGACATGATCGAGCTAGTTCTCAACATGTTGGCATACCACCTTTGCTCTTTCTGCTCTTACTTATTCATAGAGATTTCCTTACTGTTCGTCTCCTCTTCCATCCAGTCCGCGAAGATCTGCTCAGCATGAGCCCGGTGACTCTGAGTTCTCAAATGCAGCTAGGCACTACGTTTCCTGTCTACTTCTCTTTTCTTTCTCTATGTTCCATTGGCTCATTGCATGCAAGCTTTCTTTGCGTTTGCTCCTTCTCTTTCTGTGCTGTGAGAATCTTCCAGGTTCTGGCGATTAAGAGTCACTGGTGGTGGCTGCAGCACATGATATGGAATGAAGTAGAGGAGCTGAGGTGATGGCAGAGGGGACGAGGATCGGCAGAGGGGCGAGGAGGAGGCGATGAGAACAAGTGATGACGCAGGTCGTATGATGGGAACATTGCTTTGCTCGAGGAGGATCATGTTGTGACCCCGGACTACGTTGAGCTCATGCGTATGCCATGTTGCCTAATGCTCTGCTCACTCGCGGCGTGTAGGTCTTCTCATCGCAATGCAGCAGAACGCTTGCCCGCAGTGCTGGGGGGTCTGCGTACGGCATGGGTGTGCGAGCGAGAGGGAGAGAGACTTGTACAAGATCTGCCGGTCAGGATGCTTGCTGCTACGATATGCTTGACTGGTAAAGCAGCACCCGAGCCGTTATCAACACGGGAATTTCTTTCAATCGATCCATCTACAACCTCATAACACAGTCAGTCTGTTACTAAGACTCGTCGGCCTCTTTGCCTCACCTTGCTCTTTATTGCAGAAGTGACTTTCTACACTTCTTGGACGGATGGGACTGGTCCATATTTCATCTCGCTCAGGTCGCTTTGAATTCCTTTCTTCCTCCTCCTCCCTCTCTTTCAATACACATTGAGACGCTCGCAGACGGGTCAAATACCCGACATGATGTTAGCACCAGCTATCTCGCGGGTTCGCAACATAGGGAGGAAGGGCTCGACAGTGAACGATATTGTCCACGAGGATCTGCTGAGACAGGAAGAGACGCACCTCCTCTCCTCCTGCCGTTCTCACATTCTATGCAGCTGAACTACACAGACGTCGGCTCCAAAGCAGACTTCCACGAGTCCTCGTTCCGGATCGACGACGCAGGTCACTGTCGCCTTCTTGACGTCTGCCTGAGACCTGCTCGCCTCTCAGCTCCTCTCCCTCACACTCCGCCAGCGTGGGAGCCGCTTTATATCGGGGGGATCGGATTTGTGTCAAGATAGCGCGGCTCTCCCCTTCCCCTCCCTCGTCCCTCCCCTTCTTTCTCCCCCCTCTCGCTCTTCCCTGGGGTCTGTAAAAGAGAAAAAACTTCACTCATCAGGCCTCAGTCGGGGCCAAGAAAGCCTGAGGGGGGGGTGGGGGCGAGAGCAGGGATACGAGGAAGGGAGGACGACGAGACGACGAGATGATGGTAGGAGGAGAAGGGAGACAAGGCAAGAAGAGACAAGAAGACAAGGCATAGGACTCACTCGGTTGACTCCGAGCCCAAGGACCAACCCGACATGAGAGCACATTGAGCGAGCAGCCAATGAGCATGAGGCAGTCGACCTCAAGCCTGTTGCTCTTCCGAGGGGGCGTCTCGAGGGCATGCCGTCGTCCCTGTGGCATGGCAATGCTTCTCCTCCTCGCCTTCGCCCTCCCCCGCTGCGAGCTCACCCATTCTTTGACATCACCGGCCAATAGCGACGAGACGTGCGCCCATGGCTCCGCCGCTTGCGGGCCAGACGGCAAGTGCGTTTGCATCCCTGCGGCTCGAGCGAAGACAGGAAAGGACCTAGAACCCCAAGGTGAGGAGGAGAGAGTGTAGTTGGGGGCCGAGGAGCGGAGGAGCGGAGGAGAGGAGGAGCAGGCGAGCATTTACTAGGTTGCGTAGGATGGATCTCAGCAGCAAAGAACAAGCTGGTGGGATACGCCGTACATCAGGGCCGGCGGGTGACACAGGAGGACTATGTGAGCGTTCACAGGCTCAGCACTTGTAGGGAAGGAACAAGGAAGAAAGCAGGTCAGCGCTTGCGCTTCGATCCTCGCTCCCTGAACTTCTTTAGACCAATGCAGGGATGTGCTCTTCGTCGCTGTATTTGATGGTCATGGAGGGAAAACAGCAGCAGAGAAAGCAAGCACAAGGTGATGGTGGTGGTGGTGATGAGGATGAGGATGAAGATGAGGATGAGGATGAGGATGAGGATGATGAGGATGATTACAGTCGTGGGGATGGTACTGGAAATAAGATTCGATCAGGCTGTACAAGCTGGTGAAAGCACAGGATTCTTTCTATCGGGATAATTTTGAGCTCGCGTTGAAGACGGTGAACTGATGCTGCAGGACTTCTCTAAGTCTTGTGATGATGGTTGATTATCACAGGCCATGGAAGAGTTTAATGCGTGGTTCCTCGACTACTCGATTGCCAACAACAGGACTGATGGAGCGACAACTGTGGTTGGACTAATCGACGAGAAGAATGTAACAACAGCCAATAAGATTTGTTTGATTTGATCTCCTTGATCTGAGCACACTCAGATTCATTTCATTTCATTTCATTTCATTTCATTTCCACGTCATGGAAACATGTTCTTCTCTTTCTTTCTGGTTTCTCACATGCTTTTTCTTCAGGTCACGCTTGCTGTCGTTGGTGACTGCAGAGCTGCCATGTTGCGAACAGCCACCGACGCGTCTCCGCATGGAGCGATGCTCACGGTCTTGCACCGACCGCATCATGCAGCTGAGAAGAGTCGCATCGAGGCAGCTGGAGGCTCAGTTGAGCTCCTACGTGGGCACTGGCGGATGCTTCCTGGTGAGCTGGCAGTGAGCAGAGCGATTGGAGATGTCAACCTGAAGCGCTACTTGTCACATACGCCCGACGTCCTCACGGTAAATTATTGTTGTCTGTTCCCTTCTATCCTCCTCTCTCTTCGCGGTGCATGCCCTTGGTTCTCCTCCATTTTTCTGGACTGTATTGTGTTGAAACTTCTCGTCTTTCGTATCATTCTCTTCTTCGCTTCCTTCCCCTTGCTGACTTTGACTCGCCGCAGGTGCAGATGTCGCGCGGTGACGAGCTGCTGGTCTTGGGGTCTGACGGACTTTGGGATGTGATGACGGCAGACGACGCGAGTGTCTTTCTGGTCCCGCGGCTTTACAGGATGAGCCAAAGTCAAGGTAAGCTACGGGTGTGGCGGCCTGGAGGAGCAGAAGCAGAAGGTGGTGGTGGTAGTGGTAGTGATGGTGGTGGTGGAGGAGGAGGAGTCTGGTGAGCTCGATTAATGTGCTTTTAGATGGCGAGGGTAAGGAGGAGCAGCTCCATGCTGGCGTCGACCTGCACGACTTAGCGCAGGAACTAGTGGAGGAGGCGTATGCCCGTGGCAGTCATGACAAGTGAAGTAATGGTTTCACTTTTCCTACTCACCTTGCCTCTCAGCATTGCCGCTATACTTGTGGACTGTCGGAGGTTCTTCCGCGATAGTTTTCCTTTCCACTACAAGCACGAGACGTTGCAGGAGAAAAGTAGAGGTGAGGCGTCACAGCAGCTGCTGATTTGTTGAGACGAGCATGGCAGGTCGGGGTCGAGCTGGCAAGCAGCTGACGGCAGGATGGCAGTCGTGGGTGAAGGATCACCCGGCAGCTCTCGCAAGCTTTCATCGAGTCGGACCTCACGGGCAGGTGAGCTTGAGAGGCCACTGGCCCGCCCCTGACGCAGCTTTCACCCCAGTACTCGCTCATGGATAGAATTGCCGTCATCCGCGCTCGGGACCTCTTTGTTTCTCCTAAAATGATCGGAGGGGAGAAACTGAAGGGAGGACGAGGAGCGAGGAGGGCGGAAGACGCGAAGTTTCGATCGTCTGAGCTGTGGGACCTTATCCATGTGCGGGGTCACAGCTTTGAATTTAATTCTATTGGTGACGGCTGTCAAGGTTCCAGTTCATATCGCTGAGACGCACGAGCAAGATGCTTCGGCTCAGGTGAATCTAAACTGTCTTTGTATCCTCTTGTTCTTTTGACTTTCATTAGATCGCTCGTTTCAACCACCTGCTGGACGATCAACAGAATTCCCTTAACCACTCGGCTGACTTGCAGGTCAACAAACTCTGCTAGATTTCTCGCACTCAAATCATGCGCAGGAAACTTTCAATCTTCTCATGTCTCTTGCTCAAGCGCATGAAGCCGTTGGGGATGCTGAGGGAGCCATCAGATCGTACAAGGTCAGCATTTCAAAACAACCCCCCCCCCTCCCCCCTCCCGCTTCCCTTCGAGCTAGCCTCCGTTCCTCCCTCCCTCCCTCTCTATCGTGTTGTATACGATTCCCCTTCTCAGCCAGTGGCTTTGATCACCTTCATAGGCGGTGCTCAATATGTGCAACCGGAAAGGAGCACCACTTGCTGCTGTGCCAGCGTATGACTCTTGTTGTCATCGACTCGTTCTGCCTACTCCTCTTGTTCACGCCCTTGTCCTGATTCTCTTTATTTTCCCTCCTTGCCCTCTTCGTTGTTGCTTTCTCCTCAAGCTGCTTTACCTTGTTGCTTCTTGTCTCACGTTTCTGTCTTGGGGGGCTTGCACTCACATGCTGCAGACTCGCTCGGCTGGGAGAGCTTCACCTCGCTCTTGGTGATTTCAGAGAGTCGCTGCAGGTGAAACGATGGCAGGGAGAGGAGGAAGAAAGAAGGAGTAGAGAGCATTTCAATGACACGGGGGTCTGGGAGTTCATGTGAGGGGAAAGTACAGGAGAACAAACAGGAGGAGCGTTTGAGAGAGCAAGTAACATGACTTGTAGTGTGCGGACGAGCTGCTCAAGCTTTCAGATCACTTCATGGATGGACCAGCGCGAGTTCTTTCATGCAGACTTCTCTTCCTCCTGGAGCACCAAGCTGACATCTCCATGCACAATCGCTTGCGACGCTGTCAAGACGAAGAGCTGCAGCAACGCATCCGAGAGAAAGAGAGGAAATACAAGGCATTGTCCTCGTCCTCGTCCTCGTCCTCGTCTACGTTTCTTATTCCCGCCGCATGGACACATCCGGATCGCCTGAACTACTCGGAGGTGAGAAATGAATAGGAAAGGAAAGTAGACGAAGGAAAGTAGATGAAGGAAAGTAAATGAAGGAAAGTAGATGAAGGAAAGTAGATGAAGGAAAGCAGATGAAGGAAAGCAGATGAAGGAAAGCAGATGAAGGAAAGCAGATGAAGGAAAGCAGATGAAGGAAAGCACAAGCAGAGAAATATGGGAGGAAGGGAAACTCAGAGGAAAGGCAGAGTGAAACCGAAGTCTCAGCCCTACTTGCTTCATTTGACACCTTGAGCCGGAGCAGTCAGGGGCTTGATGAGCCGGAGCAGTCAGGAGCTTGATGAGCCGGAGCAGTCAGGAGCTTGATTTGGTCTGATCACTCTGGTAGTTGTCTTTGCATGCACATCAACTGGGTCCTGCCGCTCACGAGAGAGGAGAAGAAGCGTCTGCGCCGCACTTCCCCATCGCTGACACTCCACAAGGATCCAAGACAGAGATCGGTGATAAAGGGACTAGTGTTGTAGGAAAGGAGAGCGGGAAGGGGAGGGGAGAGGAGAGGAGACAAGGGAACAGAGCAAGAGGCGAGAAAAAATGGATCGGGGGTGAGGAGGAGGAGGAGGAGGAGGAGGACGAAGGAAGGAAGAAGAGTGACGGATGAGCGGAGCAGAAGGGACGGGACATCCTGTTGTGAAGCTCGTGGGGTCACTTATGACCATCGACCATGATGTGGCTTCCTTGGACGCGCAAGAGAAGATTGGGACGGGAGAGCGACCGCAAGAGCATCACTTCCGGTACGACATGAGCGACCCCATCGGCGCAGGGAAGTTTGGAGAGGTGAAAACAGGAGGAGAGAGGAGAGCAAGAGTAGAGGGGCGGGGCAAGGAAGAGGCTTATCAGTAAATCAGGTGTGGAGGGCGCGACTTCATGGGCAGCCGGAGGGAAAGGGTGACACTTTCATATTGAAACGTGAGGGTTGTCAATGACGAGGAAGGGAAATAACTTCGTTTCTTGCAGGACTCTATGTTGAGAAGGGAGAAGCAATACGTTTGTCAGGGTTGCGAGAGATTCACTTCGGCCAGCAGGTTGCTTTGCTTCCTTTTCACCGTCTCCTCTTTTCCCTTTGGTATTCCTTGCCTTTCCTCGCAGTAGCTTCTTGCTTGCTCCTTCTCTAATCATCCTGACTTTCTATCAGCTCAGAGACGTCCCTCATGTCTGCAGATTCGTCGAGTCATTCATCGAGGCGGATGAGTCTTCCAACGTTAGCGTCCCTTCCTGCCTTTCCTTGCTTGCTTGCTTGCTTTTGTACTTTGTTTTGCTTGCTTTCCTACTTTGTTTCCTTCCTTGCTTACTTTGCTTGCTTCCTCGGCTTTTGCCTTCCTATCTTGCCTTGCTCTGTTTGTCTTCTCTACTCGCTGCGTCTGTTTCTCGTTCGCTTCCTTCTCTCGCTGTCCTTTTCCCCTTCCTTGCTGTCTCTTTTGCTCGTCACACTTACTCGCCCAGCTCTTCATTTGACATGAGCACGCAGTCAACCAACAACTTATGGCTTGTCTTCTACCACGAGGGGTTTTCTCTTCGCTCTTTTCTCTATGAGGTTCTATCAAAGTGTCCTCTTCTCCTCTCATCTTCCAACAGGCGAACGCGGAAGGCGATTCCATCCGCTACACGGTGTCACGGATGTATGAGGAGAGCGAGAGAAGTGCAAGTCTCACAGGAGGGCGTAGGTGGAAGGACCTGCGAACGTCAAGGAGAGGAGAGGAGACTCTGCGGGAGTTGATGCGGCAGCTGCTCGAGGGCATCGCCGACTGTCATCGTCGGAATGTGACGCATCGCGATCTCAAGCCGGAGAATCTCATCCTTCACACGCTGAGCCAGGGCGAGCAGGCGGACTCCTCCTCTCCTCTCCTCAAACTCGCTGACTTTGGCAGCGCCATTGACACCTACGCGCTGAGACATCTATACGGGAAGGAGGGTCCCTCAATCCTGGACGAGACGCTGGACTACGCGCCTCCGGAGGTCCTCTTCGGTGATGGCGTCCCCATGTCGCTCATGCGCCCCGCGAGCTACGACATGTGGTCGGTCGGCGTCATCTTCCTCGAGATCGTCCTCGGCTCCTCCAAGGTCTTCCAAGTCGACGCCAGGACTCGCGCAATAATCGATCAGAAGCTGAGGACCTCAAGCGCGGCGGTCAGGCAGCAAGCCTATCTCTTCCGCGCCATGATCGTCTACTGCATCTACCCACCAATGCCTAGCGCCAAGAGCCACTCCCAGCAGAGCAGGAGTGCGCTTGTGCCGTCAAAGTGCTCAGATGAGCACATGCACGAGCTGCTTCGGAGCAGAGACCCTCTCCTGCTGGGCCTCCCCAACATCTGGGCAGTGAAGCTCGTCCGCCGACTCCTCGCATGGAACGCAGAGTCTCGCATCACCGCAGAGCGCGCGTTGCAGCATGCGTACTTCACCACAGATGGGACAGGCTTTACATGCGCGTCCGTTGGGCGAGGAAAGGACACCTCGAGCGCGTGGGAGTTTGAGGACGAAGCGTTTGAAAATTGTTATGGATGACCAGTGAAGAACAGAAAGTGGAAGAGGATCAGGACATTATGAGTAGGAGTTGTAAACATTATTGAATGATCCGTCTTTGCTAAAGTTGCAATTAATTCGAGTTTTTTCGCATGCTTCACTGCGTTCATGTCTGTCCTGGTTTTCTTTGTAATACAAACAGTGTGTAGCCCTTCTCTTTCGTCTGCACAAAGCCCGTCATGTCGTAGCGCCATCCTTGCTTTTCACTCACCGCCCCAGTGACGCCATAACGAACTTCGCCCCAGAAGGGAGCAACAAGAATCTCGAACCTTTTCGTATCAATCCTGAAGTAGGTCAAGTCGTTCTGAACAGATGGGGGTGTCAGGGAGCAAGCGCAAAACATCACTGAAGTGCCTGCGGATCGACATCTCTGACAGCTGTGCGCGCAATTGATTGCAAGACGAAGATCTGCTCCCCATATTTTTCTGCAAGCTCTTGCGGAAGACTGTACCTGCGCAAGTGCTCAACAAGCGCTCAACAACTCCCGACAATGAGCAGGGATGGTTAAAAAAGCGAACAAGAACGAAATAAGAGAAGGAGAGTAAGAAAGATGTATATCAACCTTGCAAGTTTTCCGGCATCGTCAAGAACTGCCACACCCATGACACCGCTGTGTGCTGTTATCCTCTTCAGCGCCTCCTCAATGTCGGACATCGATCGTTAGCTCTTTGCACAACCGCTCGTACCCTCATCCCCCAACAACCCTCTAGGGTTTGCGGGCTGGTTTGCGGGCGCCGGGCCGCAGGTTTGCGGGTTTGCCGCAGTGCGGCCCGGCCAGGTTTGTGACGGACTACAAGTTTGTCACAGTGTTAGACTTGTACCATGTTAAAGTAATGCAGATATCATGATTAACCTATGATGTAACAAGACAGTTTTTGCTCAAGACTGAGTTTAATGCACACGAAACCAGAATTGAGGAGCACACTAATGATGAGAGATAGACTGTATGCTAGGATGTGAAACCCAAGCATCCAGACATGAGAGGACCTTAGCAAGACGGCTAGAAGAGGCCCCCCCTTCGTCCGCGTGCTACATTGCCGTCTGCCACGTGTATTTTTCGTCTTGGTTCTGGAAGCTTCTGTTACTAGTTAACTCGCCGCGCTATCTGGCTGGCACGGCTGGCATATGATCCATCCTCCCCCCGACTTTCTGGGAAAGTACATGGTACGTTAGAAAGCCTGGCACACAAACAAGAGAATGTCAGCAGATCCAAGTCAAGATACGATGATACTACGTCAAGTTCACAGTCATGCTGAGTGGGCAATCATTGAACCATTCAAGGATTGTCCATTCTGAAGAAGATTTTCATGCAGGGCTGTTAGATGTGCGGCGCAGAGATAGGGGACTCGGGAGATGCCTGGCGAGCGGATGCAATGACGAGAGATGGAGGATAGGATAGGAGAGTCTGAAGAGAGAGAAGATAAGCGAGATAGAGAGGGAGAGAGTGTGTGCCCGCCGGCACTGATTTGAAGACCAAAAGATAAATTTTTGAACCGTAAAGAACTTGTTGCCAGAGATCGTCGCCGCGAGATGGAACATACGGTTTCAAGGCATTTGATGATGTTGTACAGTTGTACCTTGTTCGCCGAGCCAAAAGTAGCTCCAGTTATGCATGCCACAGCCTAGCTCCATGACATGAAACTTCCGCCAGATCTCCTGGGAGTTCCATTTGATCCTACTCAAAGATCAAGAAAAATAAGAATCGAATTCGCTCCAGGTGTGTTGCTCCAAGCAGATTTTCGACCGACCGATCTGGCTGGGGAGAGGCTTGTTTTTCCTATTCGAAGATCAATCAAACAAATCAGTTGTGGCTGGGATGAGAAGCCTAAACAACTTGCGGCTAGAGAGGCGTCGGAGCCTGATTGAAGAGAAAAAGTCATCCGAATGTGCAAGGCTTGAAAGAGTGCATGAAATTTTCAACAGTAACGAAACAAACCGAGAAAGAAAGGCTCCAGAAACCTTGTGACTAACCGAACTGATAAGATTAACATGATTGAGCATGTAAACGAGCGGCTCATAACCGACGGACTACAAGTTTGTTAGACTTGTACCATGTCAAAGTAATGCAGATATCATGATTAACCTATGATGTAACAAGACAGTTTTTGCTCAAGACTGAGTTTAATGCACACGAAACCAGAATTGAGGAGCACATGAGAGATAGACTGTATGCTAGGATGTGAAACCCAAGCATCCAGACATGAGAGGACCTTAGCATTGAAGACGGCCGCGCCGCAGGAGAGGCCCCCCCTTCGTCCGCGTGCTACATTGCCGTCTGCCACGTGTATTTTTCGTCTTGGTTCTCATACATTTACATGTGTCCATGCTTCTTCATACGTTTGCATGTGTCCATGTTAATTGTTGCAGGTTCTGACAGAAATCCTGTGTAAACCTCAGAATGTGCTTCATAAGGGTTGGCAAGGTAAATATTACTGGGCGGCTCATCTGTAGGAAAATCTTCAAGGCTATTCAAAACTTTCCAAACATGAGGAGGATACGATTCATCCTAGACAAACACATGACGACAACTCTTTGGCCCGTGTTGCTTCCGGCATGTAACATGCCAAAGCCCCATTGACGGTGAAATTCTCATCCTTGCTTGCCATGCAGTGTTGCTTGTAGAAAGAGAATGCTTGGGAGCTCAAGAGACTCTGCTCAATCATCACAATCTCATGCTCAGTTGTACCATTCCAATCATAAATCCTCTTGGGCTGCAGTGGGACGATTTCCACCCACCCCACTTAGATTTTTGGCTAAGCAGTACCGGTACGGTATGTTGTGACATTCTGTACGGGATTGGAAGTTCCTGGTAACAATATGTAAACATTGTGTACGTGTTTATATATTTAAAAATAAATAAAACGAAAATAATACAAATGTGTAACTGACTCATACAAAAATAGCTATGAGAAATTTGAACAAAAATACGCTGTATTAAAAAGTAATTCAACGACCCCTCTCAAACAATCCAGGTACCACCACCCCCTCATTCGGGGGAAACCACCGGGTCATTAGTCATAACCGGTACGAGTGGGAGATCGAGAACTGACAAAAAGCCACTTTTCCTTGGTTTTTCCTGGGCGAAAGCCTACAGAATGTTCTGTAGGATTTTGGGCAGGTAGGCATATACGGTGTCTTGTAGGGTAGTCCCTGGGAATCGAGGGGTGGTTTAGGGTTTTCAGTTATTTGTACCATGTAATTTGAGACCTTACGAAATTGATTTGAAATGTTCATTAGAATAGGTTTTATTCGTCGATAACAGTACAAAATGAAAAATATTTTATTTTGCTGCCTCCTTGTCCTTTACCCCTTGCTTGAAAAAAAAATATTTTATTTTGCTGCCTCCTTGTCCTTTACACCCCTCCGGTCCTTTACCCCTTGCTTGAAAAAAAAATATTTTATTTTGCTGCCTCCTTGTCCTTTACCCCTGCCACCGGAGCAGGGGGAACGGGGGGGGGGGCCGGGGGGGCTCGCGCCGCACCAATCTACGTGGTCGCCCTCTCCGTACTTGCAGGCTCTTCCACCTGAGTCACCCGACGGTTAGTTCAGAGCTCTTTACTCAAAGTTAAGTTAAAATCAGTACGAGGACAATAAGGAGAAGAGAGGAGGCTTGACCCTGACACTGCCGCACAAGCCGAACGGCGAGAAGAGAAAAGACAGCGAGCCTCGGAGAACCAACCCTCATCCTGCCCACTGCTGTCCCTCAAACTTAACTGATACCTTCACTTAACCCCGGCGCGCAGGCCATTCCCCCGCGCCATGTCACCGATGTCGCTGTGGCCGCCGCCGAAGGAATGAGACGCATATCTGTACGCACCCGCAATGATGGCAGCATAGGACAGGGAGGCCTTGAGCTGACGAAAGATCCTGGACCAGAGACTCTGTGTATCACAGTGAGGTGCCAGGCGGAGGCCGCCGAGGCCGCGGCAGTCACGGGCTGGCACGGTGGTCCTTCAAGACTTCAAGGAGTTCGTCGGGGGCCGGTTAGGCAGTGGCAGGCCTCGGCCCTGAAACTTGAAACATTCAAGCCTCTCGTCATCAGCGGCTCATCACAGAGTCATGGCCTCGGGCGACTCCCGGACGAAGATGCAGACTGACCGGGCGGAATCTCTCTCAATAAATCAGTTCACTGCCAAGTCAGCTGCAGGCCAGTGGACCTGACATGATCGGACTCAGTAAAACCCGATCCTTCGAATGGAACGCCGGGACGAGGCTACCAAGGATGCCTACAACTTCCGGAACTTCATTCTGCCAACTTCCTCTCGTCTTACCGCCGGGGTTTCGACACTGCATAGAAAGTCCACGGCCAGCTTCTTCGCAGACCTCAGCCGACATTCTCGACCCCCTGAGGCAGTCCCCTGTTCTCTCGCCTGGATGCCAGGGTAACACTTCTCCGGGCTCATGGCAGCTACACAGTGGAGGCGGCTCTATCCCCCAGAGTCAGCAAGTCAACCTTCGAGCCCACTGTTCGCCGGAACGGTTCCGGGGGCCCCCCGGGCAGTGGAGCCCTGCGGCACTGACGCGGCCAGTGCCCCATCATGCCGGGCCCATCCACTGAGCCTCGCACGAGGGACAGTCGATCGCTTCACAGAGTCAGCCTCCATCGTTGATGAAGTGGGGTCAGTGGTTCTGGCTCGGACTTCATTGCCTTGCCTGCCGTCGCCGCTTGCGTGGTTGGAGTAGCGGTTTTGCTGCCTCCTTCGTTTCCTAGTATTTTCTCGAGGCGGAGTTGTAGGTTTTCTCCTAAGTTTTCCTCCTTGCTTGCTCCCGGTTTGGTTTTCCCGGTTTTTCAGTCAATGATCTGACAGACGGGCCAACCCCTAGTGTGGGAATTAAAACTGGTACAAATATTTAGTTAAATACCCCCCCTCCTTTCCTCATCGCGCCTCCATGCAGAGCGTTCGGGGCGGCGGGGGATTTAGGGGGTGCTGCATGCCATGGCAGGGTGTCACGAGAAAATTCAAATCAAAGTTTTGGCGGGCAAAGCTATGTTGCACCACACCATGGGCAGGCCCGGCGAGGCCTCCAGCGAAGAAAACATGCACATCATGCCACAGACGAAGAGAGATGACCAGTATTCGAAAGTGCCGCATGTTGCAAGGTTCAAAAAACAAAACACTTGCAATGATCTTGAGCAGATCTTGCTCTCTAAATGGGATGATGCCTTGGTTTTCAAGCTGTTGGATTTCTTGCGATGTCATGGCCATGCAACTTTATCTGTGGAGTGTGAAGACTAGAATCTTTTAGCTGAGTTCAGCGACCCAGAACCTCAAGTGGAATCTTCGTTCTGTATCTTTGTTTGAAATCCAGAACAAACTAAAGGTCCTCGGAGATGTCTATGGGCATACATCAGAAGGATTTTCGAGATTGTTTCTCCAGCACTACATGCAGGTTTTCGAACAACAAGCATCTGGTAAATCACATGGAGGCACAAAGGTCATTTATGAGCACTTGAATCAACTTCGTACACGTATTTGCAACATTCGCAGGAAGAATGGAAACCTTCTTTCTCGAATGGAAGAATGGTCTACTGGTCACTTCGTGGATTTACACACCTCAGCAAGGAATTGTACAGATGGATGTTGCCGAGATGACTCAGAGAAATCAAACAGTTTGTTTTGCAGTTGTGACAGAACCAGGCCATATGGCAAGTTCAAAAGAAGAAGACGCTACGATGCAACACGAGCAAGAGGCCGAGAGCGACCCTGAAAGAGATGTTTTGCAGGCTTCAAATATTTTGCAGACGGTATGGATATGAAGAAGTTCTTTCATTGGCCAACCACAATGACGAGAAGGAGGAAACATTCACTCCTTGGGAGATGGAGCGAAGAATAGCTGATGGACTAAATGACTTTGATGAACACAAGATCCGCTTTAGATTCGACGAATGGTTATCCAATCCCCGGTCCTCTCTCCAGTTACGAACAAGTTGTTTTTCTCGCCGTGCATCAATCACTTGTTGAATTGGATCAGGGAAGTCGCAGTCATCATCAAGCGAAGCGATGATGGGGCATAAAGCTTACAGCGATATCGCCAAGAAGAATCCTGCTTGGATGACTCAGATGGAAGTCGACGGGACCGCCGATCCACAATCGGTGGATATCATGCTGAAGATGTTCAGTGACAAGGCCATCAGTCTACTAAAGGCAGAAGGACATGAAGCGACAGCAAGAATGGCAGAGGCTATGTCTGGCCTGCACAAAGCATTCGATGAAAGAGTGCTGAAAGTTTCAGAGAGGATACGTCTCGTTCACGAGGGTCGATGGCTATTGGAAGGCATCGACTGGACCAATGTCAGCCACAAATATGTCAAGGGACTATCCTCTGTAATATTTGAAGGCTTCATAGTTGCAATTGATACTCATCTGCAAGTAAAGCAGTATGTGAGGGATAAGAATCAAGCGCTGGGTAATAGAGACTATGACTTCAACTTGCCAAGAGGAACAAGGATCCGCATCGCAAGGAGGAAGAGGGGGAGCAGCTGCGCAAAGAGAAGGAGCAGCTCCGCAAGAAGGAGGAGGAGCTGCGCAAGAAGGAGGAGCAGCTGCGCAAGAAGGAGGAGCAGCTCCGCAAGAAAAAGGAGGAGAGCTTCGCAAGGAGAAGGAGGAGGAGCAGCTTCGCAAGAAGGAGGAGGACGAGCTTCGTAAGGAGAAGGAGGAGCAGCTTCGCAAGAAGGAGGAGGAGCTTCGCAAGGAGAAGAATGAGCAGCTTCGCAAGGAGAAGGAGGAGCAGCTGCGCAAGGAGAAGGAGGAGCAGCTGCGCAAGAAGGAGGAGGAGCAGCTGCGCAAGAAGGAGGAGGAGCAGCTGCGCAAGAAGGAGGAGCAGCTTCGCAAGGAGAAGGAGGAGGCCCAGCTTCGCAAGAAGGAGGAGGAGCAGCTTCGCAAGGAGAAGGAGCAGCTCCGCAAGGAGAATGAGGAGGAGCTTCGCAAAAAGGAGGAGCAGCTTCGCAAGAAGGAGGAGCAGCTTTTCGCAAGGAGGAGGAGCAGCTTCGCAAGGAGAAGGAGGAGCAGCTTCGCAAGAAGGTGGAGCAGCTTCGCAAGAAGGAGGCCCAGCTTTGCAAGGAGAACCTGGTTTTGAGGCAGATTCCGTCATCTGTAGAGCGAGGGATAGCTTGGGAGGAGTCAGAGGCAGGGCTTGATCGCATGGGCTTTTGCGAGCAGAGAAAGTGCTTCCGCCTCGATAGCTCGTACTTATCGATGGATGCAAGCGATGTCAGCAACCAGGAGCTCTTTCTCTACTGCCGAGAAGCCTTCACGAAAATTTATGGGATATGTATTTGTATGATATAAACTTCCATAAAATCTGGTTCAACCCGAAAACCGGATACATAATAAATAAAGATAGCATGCTGTCACATACGAGTAGAGCTGCTTGAACTTGTTGAAGTTGCAGTGTACAACCTTCACCGTCGTGTCAATGATGATGCAAGGAAAGAAGAGCGGAAAGGGGCGACCTTTCCATCGAGTCCTGCTGCAGCCTGCCGCCATGGAGTACCCTCAACGGACAAACGCTCGAGTGTGCCTTGCGCCGGCGCGAGCACGAATTAAGTCATCTGGGCGCCAGCTTCAATGACAAGTAGGCACTTGGCTCTCAGCCTCGGCATGGAAGGAGACGGATGATGAAGAACTGCTGCGTCTCGATTGGAACAACATGACCAGTGAAAGCCTTTGCTTGACATGTCCAAGACTTTACTCTTCACAAACATCAGCCGCATAACTGTGAAGGGGTTTGGCTACCTCCATGCGTGCCTCAAGAAACGATGTTCTTCGGCATGTGACCTCTCCTCTCTAAGGATCTCCCTGACTATAAGATAGAAATCCCTGCTACTTCTGCTTGCATTGCCTCCTCTCCTCTCTTCCATCCGTAATCCTTTAGCGCCCCGCTGTCTTCGATGGGTTTGATCTCAAACCTTGCAAGCTCCTCAACCGGAATCAGGAAAACAACCTCCACCTTCCACTCCCCACCTTCCGGGATGTTAAGCGCTTTCAGAGCCTTCAAGAAGAAAGAGAGTTTGAAAGAGTGTTTCTGTGCGATCGTTGCTTGTACAAACATCACCTTCCGCTTCTCTTTGTCGACCATCACTGCGTCATAGCCCCCCTGAAACGCGCTAATGGGCCTCAAGCACGTATTTTGCGCAGGAAGCGTCTTGATCCCTTGCAATGATGAGAAATTCACCACAAGACATCGATCCCAGCTCTCGGTCTGTCTCGGGCCACGGTAAGTCACACTCAACCCTGTTTGTTCCATCTTCTTGAAGAAAAGCATCTCGAAAAGACTTCCCTTCACGCCCGGATTTCCATAGCCATAAC